AGAGACACTATCTCTCCTTTGGCTTCAGAAACATCACAATATCTTACCTCACTGGCTGCTTTGCAGTCTCTTTTGCAGGTTCCTTCTCCCTCATCATAATCCTCCCCTGGAGTTCCTCAAGCCTCAGCCAAAGGCTCTTTCTCTTTATTTATGGTCTCCCAACATGAACTCAATTGGTTCTTAACTTTAAGTCCTACTTTATGCCATCAACTCACAGTTTCATCTCTAACAGAGATCTTTTCTCTGAGCTCCAGGCTCAATCATAGCTGGATTCTCCACTTAAATGGAGTCATTCTTCACCTGAATGACTTATTGGCATCTCAAACTCAACATACTCGAAACAGAACTCTTGATTTTCTTTCTCAATGTTCAGTCTTTTCTGTCTTGGTAAATGACCATTTATGAAAGCCAAAAAACCAAGTCTTTTCTTACCACTTCCCACTGAAATTCAATCTATTAACAACTCCTGTCTGTTGAATCTGTAAGATATATTTTAAATCTTATTTAAAATGCAGCTCCATGCAGCTCCACTGCCATACCTCTACACCAACAATCTCCAGTCTTGACTGCACATTGGAATTACTTATGAAACTTTAAAATGTCTTATTCCTGGGCCAACCTAAAGAAATTCTGATTTAAATGCCCTGGGGGTGAAGCTCAGGCATTAAGATTTTTAGTTAGGGAAGGTGGTACAGTACCTGTAGTCCCACCTATTTGAGAGGTTGAGGCAGAAGAACCTTTTAAGCTCTAGAGTCCAAGACAAACCTGAGCAACATACTGAGACCACAGTCCCCTCCTCAAAAAAAAAGGTCAGGCGCGGTGGCACACCACGTAATCCCAGCACTTTGGGAGGCTTAGGCAGGTGGATCACAAGGTCAGGAGTTTGAGACCAGCCTGACCAATGTGGTGAAATCCCATCTCTACTAAAAATACAAAAATTAGCCAGGTGTGGTGGTAGCCACCTGTAATGCCAGCTACTCAGGAGGCTGAGGCAGGAATTGCTTGAACTTGGGAGGCAGAGGTTGTGGTCAGTTGAGATTGCACCACTGCACTACAGCCTGCACAACAGAGTGAGACTTTGTCTCTAAATAATGAAAAAATAAATATTAAAAAAATTTTTTTAAAGACAATTAAAAAGCTCCTCAGGCAACCACAGCTGAAGTTGAGAACCACTGCCTTAGACCAAATCTCCATCATCTCTCCAGAACAATTGCCTCTTCCAGCTTCTATTCTTATTATTCACTCTCCACCAGCATTCAATCTCCACAAGGTAGCCAAAATCAGCTTTAAAGTGTTAATCAGATCATATGACTCTCCTGCTAGACCTTTCCACAGTTTTCATTTATACAGAAATATATAATTCCAACTCTTTACTATGGACTACAGAGCTTGGTGATCTCACAGCTACCTTCTCCCAACCTTGCCTCAAACCACTCTTCATCCTGCCAGCTATGCTTTGGCTGCACTGGCTTTCTGTTAGTTCCTAGGGCATGCTGAGCTCTCTCCCATCTCAGAACCTTTGCACTTAGTAATCTGCCTGAAATGCTTTACCCCTAGCTACTTCACAAGCTATTCCCCTCATCCTTCATGTCGGCTTGAATAATACCTGCTTGGCTGGGCGCAGTGGCTCAAGCTTGTAATCCCAGTACTTTGGGAGGCCGAGGAGGGCAGATCACGAGGTAAAGAGATCGAGACCATCTTGGTCAACATGGTGAAACCCTGTCTCTACTAAAAATACAAAAATTAGCTGGGCATGGTGGCATGTGCCTGTAGTCCCAGCTACTCGGGAGGCTGAGGCAGGAGAACTGTTTAAACCCGGGAGGTGGAGGTTGCAGTGAGCCAAGATTGTGCCACTGCACTCCAGACTGGCGCCTGGCGACAGAGTGAGACTCTGTCTCAAAAAAAAAAAACCAAAAACCTCCTCAGAGGAGCTTCCTGTGACCACCCTGTCTCATACACTCCCCTACCCTAAAATTAGTTTTGTGGTTTCTTTTTACCACTATACTATGTTTATTTCCTTAACAGAATGTGTAAGCTACAATTAATGTATTTATTGTCTGTCCTACTGAAGTGGAAACTCCATTAGGGCAGACACTCTGTCTTACTTTCCCCTGTATTTCTAGTACCCATTAGTTGCTGGTATTAGAGTACATACACCATATAGAATTTTTAACTTCCCCTTCATCCAAACCTGATGAGAAAAAGCAAAAGACCTTTCATATGTGTTCCTTAAGGATGAAGGGTGAGCCAAATAATGAAATTCTTAATGGAGATGCCACAAAGTAATTACTCTGGTGAATCTCAGAATGTTGGACAGAAGCATATAAGGCACTGTCAGTAAACGATGAGAATGTTACATAAATCCTAAAAGGCATACTAAGGTCGGAATCATTTCTGTTGGGTACACCTGACTAAAAAGTTCAAGAGTGGGTTCTTGCCTCGCCTGCACCTATTACAGTGCTTATCACAGAGTAGGTACTTAAAATATGTGTACTGCACAATTGAGTTTTTTTCCAGATATCGGACATTTGACAAATATCTAAAAGCTTAATACATAACAGAACATAAGAAAACACCTATTCCTTCCTCACTGGATCAAAATGTAATAACAGAATGAAAAGGTGTTTTTTAAATTATGTCTATGTACACACTCGAGATACATTATTAAGAGACAACCTAAAGAATACTTCATTTTGAAATAAAATACAAATGTGCAAAATAAATTAGCTCCCCCTCCCCGCCTTTGAACACTGAGTCAATAGAATGTGAAACCAGGTAATGGCAGATAATAGGCAAAGGTCCAGCTTTTCAGTGGCAACTTGAAACCAAAGATGAATGCTGCTAAATGAATGACCCTTTAGTACCTGTTTTAAAGAACTTCTGGACTCCTTCTTTTATAAACCCCCAGGAGCCCAGCACCACATCTTGTTACCCTACAATGCTCACTCACGCTCCACGATGTCACTAACGTAATAACTGAAGATGTAGGTCAGTTTGTCCATGTCACGTTCCGACTTGCAGGTCAGGCTGAACCTGTCCATTAATGCTGTAAACCCTGACCAACAAAGCAGAAGTCACCATGTTAACCGAAAATCCTCAACTCTTTGGTCCATTTCTCCCCACACATCTGGCTAGTGTAAAGGCAACAGATCCCTTCAAGCTGAGTAATTCCTTTATCCATTAACATGGTGTAACTTAGAAACTAATCATGGTCAGGCTGGTTGCCGGGGCCACTGGGGAATCTAGAGGACCACCCTCTCTGCTTCCAGGAGCTGGAGACAGTGCCCTTTTCACCTGGAGCCAGCTCTTTCCTCCCCTCTCTGAGGCTGCCTGGCTATGGGAAGCCATAGAATTCCTCCTCATGTCTCGCTAGAGAACGACTGACAAGGGCAATGGATTTAAGCTTCACGTAGAACGCACACGGTGAAGACAGGTACCTGGTATTACCCATCTTCATATCCCTGACACAGAGTATTTGCTTAAATGAACGACTCTCAGAAGTGGCTGCTAGATCGCTACAACCTAGAACAACGGCGGGCACATGCTTATGGACGCCAAGAATGAATGAACGAATAAAATAATTGTCTGAAACAACACTTAATGGAAAATGCTCGGGGTTGGGAGAAACGGGTTCAAAGCCCGCCGCGTGGTCCTGTAAAAAATCCTCTCCTCGCTCCGAGTTTCAATTTCATCATCGTTGAGGCGAACTCAAGGACTAAGCTGGTTCATCCCAAAAGGTGTCCTCCCGCTCTAAAACGAAGACCCTCAAAGTTTCCTGCGGAAGCCGTGGCACGAAACTAAACTGTGCCTTAGCTCGCGGGAGGCCAGGCCTGTAACCGTCGCAGCTTAGGCCCAACGGCCGCCTCTCCGGCAGGCCGGGAGACTGAAGTGCCAGCCCTTGCCCTCACCCGTCACATGGACGCCTAGGACGCCCTGGGCCGTGGCGACCTCAGGTTCCGATCCCCGCGGTTTCCGAAAGACCAGAAGGTCGGGAAGCAGCGCCGCCAAGCGGACCTCCATCGGCCACAGAGGCGGAGCCGCCTCCAGCTCGCGGGTCACCATGATTGCCCGCCTAGGAACCGGAAACAGGGTCCAGCCGTGTAGCAGCCAATCCGCACCGCAGGCTCTGCCGGGACCCTCCCGCCTACCAATCCGCACAGGCTTCCTTGGGGCAATGCCAATTGGAAGCGGCCGCAGTCCCCGCCCCACCAGCTTCCAGTAGCCTTCGCCAGGCCGACTTCCGGGGGGAGAAGGCACTGGAGTTGGGGCAGTAGGCGTTTTCAAAGGAGCAAAGCTGTCTTTTCTAATCTCCTGGAAACAGGGGAGGTGAAGAGCTCCTACGATAAAGCCGCTGATGTGAGATAACATATCGAGGTCTTTCCTCCATACCAGAGAGTAGAATCTTGGGTCATCTCTGAATTTGGTAAGGGCAAGTTCCATTGGTATAAATCTAAGGCAAACCCAATGTTTTTTTCTTAAGTACAGTTTGACTAAAGCTATCGAATACTGTCAGTCCCTTTCTTTCATTGTCAAGAAGACTTTCTCCTCTTTTAGCTGCCAGGGCAGGTCTACTGGTTTCATCATGAATGCTTCCCCCGGGCTGTTTGTCTCTTGTGTGATAATCGCATATCGGAGGGGGTCTAGTCTTTGTTGCTTAGATTCCTGGCAGTAACAAGGTGAGAATACTGTGGATTTTTAACCATCAGAAGTGTTTTTGTGTTGTCTTCTGGGGAAATATAACAAAATCTAAAAAGTACATCTTCACTATCTGAAATGCTACAGTACCTAATCAAGGCTGCTTTCGTGATAAGGGCTAATTTTCTTCATGGAATTACTTCATCACATTTTGATAAACACTTTCAGTAGTAGCATCAAATGTATGATCAGCCTGCAGGTGACAGAAAATGGATGGGCCAGGGGAAGAAATTAAGGGGAGGTAAAAGCCAAGAGGCCCAGACATTACAAGTTTGACACTGCCTACAGAGACACCATCTCCATGCAGATATGTCTTGTCGGTGGAGGTCACAATTTCAACATTGGAGAAACAACCTAGAAACTAGGAGTTGCAGATTTCCTCAAAAGTCAAATTACTTTTTGGTGTTTTTATAAATTTATTTTAAAAAATAACAATTGCAATGACATCAATGATCGATCACCTGTACCCCCCATACCACTAGGGGAAAAACCTTCGATATAGCTGAGTCCCAAAGAAAAATCAAGACATTATTATCAGGCACCCTATAGCCACAAAATGCTCTGTTGGTCCAGTGGTATAGACACTGACATGTTCAATGTACCAGTGCAGTTAAAATATATACACTTAAAATTATCCTGCATTAAAAGAAAAAGCACTCAAGTGGCATAACTAGGCATTAAACCAATTATTCATTTATCCATTCACTCTGCATCTGTGAAGTCATCACTAGAGTCACAAATAAAAATGAACAAAAGAACTAGTAACAAGAAAAAATATGAATGTCAATACCCTGCCCCCACTTTGTGGGCTACTATGGTGTGCTAAAGTGACCACAAGAAAAGGGTCATGAGCTATTTGAAATGCAATGACAAAATGACAACTGAAGCATTTCAAACAAAACAAAATTCAAACTCATCCCCCCACCCCCAAATAAAAAATTCAGCAACAAGGCTGGCATTACTATGTACAAACTTACAGACACAAATAAATAGCATAACTATTGGCAGCTTAAGCACTCAGTTAGATCTGAGTAACTTCTGAACTCTGCATCTTGGACTCCTAAATTAACCAAGGAATATTCCTCATTGTTAATAATCTATCCTCTGAAAAACTTGGGACTTACTGAATAACATTAATGTCTAAAACTCTTATAGAGAGCCGGAAGTTTCTAGTGAGCTTACCAAAGGATCAGCACTTTGACATCTGGAAGCCTGGATAGATTACCAGATTCCCTGGGACTGGGAAGATTTCACTTCCTGTTTCCTTTGCATAGCTCTGTACCTCTATTTCTATCATTACAATGATCTCTTCTTGTGGTGTTTTTCCAGGGCTTAATTTATTTTCTGTCTTAATACAGTTAAGCTGAAGTCAAAGAAGAAAGACCTAATCTTTATTCTTGGTATTTAACCCCAAATGTTCCTCAGAATTATTGGGTTTTCCTTGTTTCCACAGAAGACAGCCAGCTCTTCTGAAATTATCTTAGTTCTCTCAGGGCTCACCATCTAGAAAAGAAATAGATTTGAGGCACAACCCATTCTGGTAACAATGGCCTAGTTCCTGACCCTGCAGGCATGTCTATTTCTAGTCTGCAATTTATTCTCACAGTTATGGATGCAATGAGAAAACTTTTCTGCAAAAGGCCTATGGAGAAAACATGAAAACTGGCACCAAAGCATCAGCTGCCATGGGAAGAATGAGAATGCTTGCTTTCTAGGGCCAGCATTGTGCTGCAGGAGTGAAGCCAACATCCACTTCAGGATCTAGTGGGTAACCTAGACTCTGTCCGGGACAGCGTGACTGATCAGTGCTTTCCAGAAATTGTCAAGGACCGAATCTCAGATTTCTTCCTTTCAGTGCTTGTTAAAGGTTCTACAGTAAATGTGAATTACTCTCTTCATCATAATGATCCATTCCAGGTATCCATCTACTGGAGAATTGCGCTCTATAACGTATGGCTGTACATGCTACTCTCTCTCTTCGTCTCCCCCTCTCCTCCTAGGCTGAAACACATGAACCTTTCAGTTCCCCAATGCTGTCACAAAGTCTATGATTGAAAATCTCTAGTTTGGCTCTCCCTTTAGGAGTTACTACAAATGTCCTCAGTGCTTCAGTAAAGAAGTTGTTGAATAGTCTTGTTCTCTACTTAGGAAAGGCAGTTTCAAGGTCCAGTACCCTCTACGTTGTCTTAGAAGTAGTCACAGCAAGTACTATGGTCCAGATGACCAGTCAACAGAGGGACAAGCAGACCACAACTTTTCAAAGCTAGAAAAAGAGATTCAGCAATGTATATTTTTAGTGCTTCAGTCTTTTATCATTCTATCCCAGAGTTAGCTTTTTCTTGGCTTGAGTTCAGAAATATCAACCTACCATCTGGGCAGACAGAAATTCTTATTATTACCACAGATTAGAAGAATGTACCTCAGGAATTTATTGTTTCCATATCACAAGATAGAACTTCCTTGCGTGGAAGCCATCTCTGAATACAAAGCGTCCATTCAGTTACTCAGTGTGAGATCCCCTACCAGAGAGATAAATGCTGTCTAAATTCCATGGGAAGGAGTGGGCTGCCACTTTCCTGACTGCAGTTTTGGTTGAGAAGGTTGTTCTTCCCTGCTGAGATGGCTGACTTCACCAGTCAACGTAAGTGCTGTATGTACTGCTGGGCTGGCGTGTGTCTCCTTGCATCATCTGAATCCATGAAATGTCAATGGCATCAACAGTGTGAAATAGGTCCTGACTGAAAGAGTAAGACAAAGGCTTGCAACTTCAATTTGCCAGGCATCGCTGCAATAGTAATACTGGGCCACTTATTAAAAACTAAGTGGTTTCTGTCCTGTAGAAAAGGGCAGAATGTGATCGTCAATGTCCCACTGGATGAGTTGATCGATTTCCTGGAACAGTGAGAAACTGGTGAGGAACAGGACTTTGATCAGCTCCATCACATGGCCTGGGGTTAGGACACTCGGATGATCTGTGTCATTGCTTCTTCATCGGCTTGGTTTGGATCCTAGAGACAAAGATGACATGATGATTAAAGTCCTTTGCAAAAGCAACAGGAACTCATGGCTCTCATTACTTATCCTCAAGAGAATACAAACAACTTTACTAAGTAAATCAAAGGTTTGTAATATACCTTAAGTCTGCATACATGGCTTAAAGTGCAGCCCCACTAGGAAAGAAGAGACAATAAACCTTATTCTTAAAAATTTTAAATCTGGTTTGCACTCCATGGCGAAACACTCCAGAACTGTTCGTGTATCTCTTTCCTAAGAATCTTGTGGTGTTCTCTATACTTAAGGGTTAAGGGTATTCAGGTGGCTAAGGAAAAGACCCAGAGAAACTATGTCATGCTATATTTTTGTCATTGTTTTTTGATCATCATTTAAATACTGAGTACTTGGCAGAGCTGGAAAGAATCATTAGAATCTATACACTTTAATGTACTCTTTTTACAGATAAATCTGAAGGCCAGACAGGTAAAGTGATTTGCTTGGACTAGGGTCAGAAAGTTAGGAGCCAGCAAAGGCTAATCCCCAACTCTTGACCTGTTTAATCTTCTTTCCATTGAACTCTATATGCTGTTTCTCACTTCAGACCTACAGTGTTAAGAATAAATCCTTAGAAGCTCTGTGCAACACTCTGCAAGAACCACCTTTAGTTCTCCCATACCAAGGCTCTGAAGCCTTGGTAAGGAGGATCTGAGAAAAAGCTGAAAGACTTCTGGAAATGGAAGACTGGGTCTTGAACAATAAGCAAAAACAGTAACCAGCATTTACTGAATTCACCATGCACTAGGTATGGAGCTACATAGATGCCTAATGTGGATTACTGAATGAAATCCCTACAACATTCCTGTGAAGAAGTATCAACAGTATTCCACTTTACTGATAAAAATAAAGAGGCTGAATTGACCAAGATCATATTGTTAGCACATGGCACAATGCCCTCCTGTATCTGGCAGGCCCACATTCTACACTGCATGAATGAATAGCAATAAGAAAGGAGGAGCTCTCACACTACAGGTGAGGACTAATAGCACTGAAAGAGTTGTTAGTGTTAATGTGTGGGGACACTGAGGAAACCGAGTTTGATTATTGAAGAGGGGTGATAAGGCAAAGTTGCTTAGATGATACACAGAAATAGTTTGAAATTTGATGCAGTTAAGAAATGAGGAACTATTTATCAATAGCATGTATCCTTGATCTGGGGACTGGCAGTTTAAAAAAAAAAAAAACAGTTTTATAACTATCTGGCAGTACTATATAAGGTCAATTAGAGGAAACTGGAGATTAATTTGATGGATATTGCAATAGTGCAGGTGGAATGTGATGTTCATATAGAATGAAGTGTCAGTAAATGGGAGGAATCTATTAATTCAAGAAACACTGATTGCTTGGTTCAGAATTGGACACTAAACCCAATAAATAAATCTAAATTAAATACAACTTACTTAAATAGAACTAAGTTCAATAAATACAACAGAGAACAAAAAAATTCTCTGTGCTCTATTCACCTTACAGTCTAGTGAAGGAAACAATCTTGAAAAAATCCAAAAACTTAATGATTATTACACTGTAAAGAAAAGGGCTAAGTGCAATGGTGTGTCCCTGTAATCTTAGCACTTTGGGAGGCAGATGCGAGAGGATCGATTGAGCCTAGGAGTTTGAGACCAGCTTGACCAACATAGAGAAAACCCATCTCTACTAAAAGTATAAAATTAGCTGGGCATGTTGGCGTGTGACTATAATCCCAGCTACTTGGGAGGCTAAAGTGGGAGAATCACTTGAGCCTGGGAGGTCAAGACTACAGTGAGCCATAATCATACCTGCAGCTTGGGCAACTCCTATCTCTCCCCAGCCAAAAAAAGAAAAGCAAGATGTTTTAAGAAAACAGAGAGAAGATACCTATTCTAGATAGGGTAGGCTAGGGTTTTTAATTAAACTAAGACCTAGCAGATAGGAAAACAGACCAATGAACAGAAAGCAAAAGCACAGAGACCAAGAAGTAGAAATGAAGTCAGAGGTAGACAGGAGCTGGAGCATGCAAGGCTTTGCTGGCTGTGGTAGTAAGCACTTGGGATTTCAGTCCAAGTGCAAATGGGAAAGGGTGAGGTTTGAAGGAGCTTGATCAGAACAGTGACTTGACAGGATAAACATTGAAAAAAGATCACAGTAAGATGTGGCAAGTAGGCTACAGGGGGACAAGAGTAGAAGAAAGGCAATTAGGCAGCTATTTTATAAATCTAAGCCAAAGAAGAGAGGATTAGACCAGGCTCACATCAGAAGGGAAAAATGTAAACATTCAAATTATATTTGTAATGAGGTAATAAAACTTGTTCAATAAAAATAAAACTTGTTCCTTGAAAATTAAGAAAACTGCAATTTTCTATAAAGAATTAACAGTAATAACTGATGAAGAGCAAAGAAAGACCACTGGATTAAAAACCTTTAGTATTCTTCCTTCTTGAGACAGGATCTCACTCTGTCACTCAAGCTGGAGTGCAGTGGTGCCATCCTGGTTCACTGCAGCCTCAACCTCCTGGATTCAAGCAATCCTCCCATCTCAAACTGCCAAGTAGCTGGGACTACAGGCGTGCATCACCAGGCCTGCATAGTTTCTGTATTTTTTGTAGAGATGGGGTTTTGCCATGTTGCCCAGGCTGGTCTTCAAATCCTGGGCTTCCCACCTCAGTCTCCCAAAGTGTTGGGATTACAGGCATGAGCCACCACGCCTGGCCTAGTGATTTTAGGATAAAAGAGAATCTAAAGAGACACAGATTGCATCCAGTTTAGAGAATATGAGTAGTCCCAGAGTATGAACATAGCAAGAGGACACTGCCGAAGGCTTCAACTCAAGTCAATACAAGGTAATAAAGAGAAAAATAAAAGATGTTAAGTCTTTTTACCTGCATATGGGGACTATCCTTTTCCTTTGGAGAGAAAAATCGACCACCTTCACCACGCTTCCGTGCCATGGCATGACGGTGCCGAGACTCATGCAGGTATTTCTAAAGAGAAAAAAACCATTTAGCTATTAATACTATCCAGAACCAGCACAGTTATCTAGTGTATAAATTCCATTCAGCAAAGTTTAAGACAACTGGGATCAAAGCCACAGGGACAATTATGACTTAGAATGATGATGAAACCTTTGGAAAAAACAACTAGTAAGAAGAATGATGATGAAAGCTTTGGAGAGAACACCTAGTAAGACAGCTAACCATATATAACTACTGTAAGAATGTGAATGCTTACAGCATGAAATTAAGTATAACAGAGATTACCACCTATACTTCCCAATATATACCCTTACCTTCTGCTGTAACAACAGGCCAAATTTCGTTTGGGGAAATGAGTGTTCAGTAAAGACTTTCCTGGCATTAAAGTTCATTATTATTATTTTTAAAACAGGGTCTCATGCTGACATCCTCGCTGCTGGACTGCAGTGGCATGATCATGAATCATGGCAGGCTCAAATTCCTAGGCTCATGTGATTCTCCCACCTTAGCCTCCCAAGTAGGACTACAGGCATTTGCCACCACACCTGGCTGGACTTTCCTAGCCTTATCTGCATGTAAGTGTGATCAGGTTACTTAATTGTGGCTAGTGAAAGGTACAGAACTTCTGGAAAGTTTCCTTGAAAAAAGAGTAACTGGCCAGGTGTGGTGGCTGACGCCTATAATTCTAGCACTTTGGGAGCCCTGAGGCCGAGTGGATTTCCTGAGGTCAGGAGTTCGAAACCAGCCTGGCCAACATGGTGAAACTCCGTTTCCACTAAAAATACAAAAATTGGCTGGGTGCGGTGGCTCATGCCTGTAATCCCAGCAATTTGGGAGGCCAAGGTGGGCGGATCATGAGATCAAGAGATTGGGACCATTCTGGACAACATGGTGAAACCCCGTCTCTACTAAAAAATACAAAAAAAAAAAAAAAAAAAAAATTAGCCGGGCGTGGTGGGACACACCTGTAATCCCAGCTACTCAGGAGGCTGAGGCAGGACAATTCCTTAAACCTGGAAGGTGGAGGGTGCAGTGAGCCAAGATTGTGCCACTGCACTCCTGCCTGGGTGATAGACCAAGACCATCACACAAAAAAAAGGAAAGAAAAAGAAAGGGTACCTTTCTTGTTCCCTTTCTTCCTAGGTTGGAGCCTAGGCAGGAACCTTAGTAAACCAAATTCTGTATTTAGCACCCTAGCAATATTAGATTAGGGAAACAGGTCTTGAGAACTGTGAAAATGTGCTATCAGTCCAGGATAATTTATCTCTGCTCTACTTTTATGTATGAAAAGGAATAAAATCTTACTTAAGCCACCGTTTGTTTTTGTTGTTAAAACTGCAGTTACATACAGTAATAACAAATGCTGACTCTTACCAGAGATAACAAGTACCTAACGTCAACTGTTTGGAAGTTGCATAAAAAGAATTGCATAAAATCACTTGGACGGTACTCAAGAAAACAAGCCATATAAAAGATAATTTCAAAAGTAGAACTATTCTCGTATTTCCTTCGCAATGTTATACATACCCTCCTCTCCTTCGGAATTTTCCCTTCTGCCTCTAGTTTAGCCCGGGCTTGCCTCCTCTTAAGAATACGGTGGTATTGTTTGGCATTCACGTAGAGAGGCTCTTCTTCAAGCATCTCTGCTCCAGGTAGAGGGATTCTTTGGATAGCAGGCACAGAGCCAGCCCCAGGAACCATCTGTGTGAACAGAAAACCAGAGCTTGTTGATGGCATGAAGTATGGACATAGAAACAGTTTTTTGGTTCCTCTTCATCCATTTTTTCCTAAATGCCACAAAAAGTAACTTTTAGAGGGTAATTGGGTAAATGCAGATCCCTGGAGAAATTTATACTAAAGATCTGCACTTTAAACAAACACCCCAGATACTGTGTCATACGGGGTTCAAGCGCCACCTTGTGAAACAATATAACCATGCCCAAATTCATGTCCACCTGTGGCTCTAGATATTTCTGCTGCCATCTAATGGTCAGGAATAGTAGTCATAAGACAGAAAACAGCACAAAAATATATAGACCAGGTGCTACTAAATGTCTATATTTATAAAAATAATTTAATAGTTAACTTATAATTCAATCCTAATTTTTCTTTGAAAACACGAAGAAAACACTGTACTAAATGTATGTGAAAACAAGTAACAGATGCCTCTACCCCACAGCTCTTTCCAAACTATGACTACTTTGAATAACTATATTGATTCTTTTCTAAAAATTATTTATCATTTAGTTAGTTAGTAGAGACGAGGTCTCTCTACATTGCCCAGGCTGAGCTCCAACTCCCGGACTTAAGCCATCTTCCTCCTTTCGCCTCCCAAATAGCTAGGACTATAGGTGCATGCCACTGAGTCAGGCTTTGTTCTGTTTCTTTTCATAGCTTCCTTTACTATGTCCAGACTTCCGTTACTCATTCTTAATTTATGCACTTAACATCTCATTTTGACATGAGGATTTAGCTTTCACTTACACCACCCAACTCTTTGTATTTTCCCCATACATTTACATCACACATTTTTGTTTGTTTTGTTTCTCTATCCATTACAATCTTTCTAATTTTTAGCTTCTTTATTTCATCCATCATGGACAATACCGCTTTCCAATTCTCAAAGATTAGTATATTCTTCCCTTCATTATTTGAATTCTGAAAAGAATTGCATAAAATCACTATCTATTGCTTTATCTCCAGCATCTAGACTAGTCCCTGGCACATAGTAGGTGCTCAGAATGAATTATGATTTGTCATGTTATTGTAAAAGTAGATTACTGACAGTGCCCTAAGGATAAATCTCGATCCCAAAAGGTCAGTATAATAAACAGATTTTATGAGGCATCAAGTTGCACGTTCAAGAAAATTTCAAAGACAAGGCTGAAGAATACATTTTCTTACCATGACCATTCCTCCTGAATTGACCACATTGCCCGCCACTGGTAGTGTCACAGTGACAGTCCCTTGCCCACTGCTGGTTGTGTTGGTATTGGCTCCTGTCTGAACAATCTGTGCTCCTGCCAAACTGGCTGCTGGGATAGTGATCATGCCTGAAACAGGGACTGTAACTTTAAGAAAACAAAACATAAAACAAACAAAAAACAGGCACACAGAACAGAAAGAAGGGAACACAGTTAGTCCCTCTTCTATCTGGTACACATTCATTCATCCTGGCAAAACACACTGAAAAACACAAAGGGAGAAAAAGTACTCTCTCACTCTGGTGTGTTACATATAATCCAAGTAATCACAATATCTGAAATTCTATTAAGTGTCTAGGTCCCAGTTGTGAGTAACTCTGTCCTTAGCAGTTTTCAAAAGATGAAAAGGTTTACAGGCCTCCTCTTCTATAGGTCAGCCTGACTAGCTATACCTAGTGCTCTTGGACATATGAGCAATCTGCTTCAGGACAGAGATTTTATAAACTTATACTTTATCTCAAACTGACAATGAGTCAGTTGTAGTATTAAAACTTAAAATTAAACCAAGCATTCCAAGTCCCCCAACTATCAATAGCGACACTTGAGGATTTGTTCATCATTCTGTTTGGGCTCTTGCCTGGGCTCAATCCAGTTCAGGGCCTCCCCTGAATTATACAAGAGCATATAGTTACTGCACTCTCTGGACCTTGTATATTGCAAATTTTCAATCACTAAGTCATGGAATCTAACAAAGATGTCCTTTTTTGAGTTAACTACTTGACTAACAAGTGCTTCTAAAAGCCTTCAAGTTCAGTTTGGGCACTCCTGCTCCCAGGCCAGATCTCTCTATTACTTACATTATCTATTCCTAGAACATACTTCTGCGAGGGCCCTGAATTGTATTTATTTGTTCACATGTCTCTCTTACTAGCTTGGAGGCTCTTTGAGAACTCTTCTTAGTAAAGTGCTGTATATATGTAGTTATATAAGGAAATCGAGTGACCCAGAAAAAAAAACATAAGCCACAATAGCACTCTAAAGCCAACCTGATTTTTTATCTATTTCTCTTTACTAATAAACTCTCTATTCCTAATCTTCTATTTAGAAATACTTCTTCCCTAAATGCTTACACAATCCCTAGATTAACAGCCACTGTAGGAACTCCTACACATGGAATTACTGTTGGTCATGGATGGTAACAAAAAAACAACAATCATTGGAGAGCTAGAGGAAACCTTTTTTTTTTTGGTCCAAAATGTATGTGGTGTCAAGTTCACCACTAAAATTCTAAAGATGTCCGCTGCCTAACAGACAAAAAAGTTGCCCCAAGAAGTCCTAGGGAAACGTATGGGTACACTTACCTTGCTGGAGAATGGTGCCATCTGCATTAACTGGCTGATAGACGATGGTCTGCCCTTCAGCAGTCTGTGCCACTTGCTGTCCCTGGACAGCAATCTGCTGCTGTGTCTGGAGGAAATAAATAATGACACAATTCAATAGATCCCAAAGATACTAACGAAAAGAACCATGTAGTCCTTATTAAAAAAAAAAAAAAAAAAAAATTTTTTTTTTTGAGAGTCTGCTCTGTCGCCAGAATGGAGTGCAGTGGCATGATCTAGGCTCACCGCAACCTCCACTTCCCAGGTTTAAGCAGTTCTCCTGCCTCAGCCTCCTGAGTAGCTGAGAGATTACAGGCATGTGCCACCACACCCCACTAATTTTCGTATTTTTAGTAGAGATGGGATTTCACCATGTTGGCTAGGATGGTCTCGATCTCTTGACCTGGTGATCTGCCTGCCTCGGCCTCCCAAAGTGCTTGGGATTACAGGCGTGAGCCATGGTGCCAGGCCAAAAAAAAAATTTTTTTTAATGGTTTTTCATCCCTTTTTTACTATACATGAAATATCTGATTCTTCTAAATCAGCTGTGTTCCTTCGTGACAAGCTAGTGGAATTACCTGAGTCTGGCCAGCAGTCACGGCCGTCTGGGGCTGCTGGATGATGATCTGCTGGGTCTGGCCCTGCTGGCCCTGCACCTGCACAGCCTGTCCACCTTGGATCTGGATCTGTCCAGGTGGAACCAACTGTATCTGCAGAAGAGAACATAAAAAAAGGGATTGTAATCTACTGACACTGGTCTCCTTCGGTGCCCGAGAGTTATCCACATTTCTCTAGAAAGCAGAAAATGTTCTGAAGAGGAAAAAAGAAGTCCGGCTCTACCCTCGATTATGAAGTAGAGACAAATTATTTTCATTTATGAAACAATCAGGAAATTTTGAACACTGTCTGGATACCTCATATTAAGAAATCAATGTCAGTTTTTATAAAAGATAGCAGTTGCATGATTATATATATTGAAAAGCATGTATATTTAAAATACACTCTGGGCCGGGAATTGTGGCTCACACCTGTAATCCCAGCATTTTGGGAGGCTGAGGTGGGTGGATCACTTGAGGTCTGGAGTTAGAGACGAACTTGGCCAACATGGTGAAATCCCCATCGCTACTAAAAATACAAACATCAGCCAGGCATGGTGGTGCACTCCTGTAATCCCAGCTACTTGGGAGACTGAGGCAGGAGACTCACTTGAACCGGAGGTGGAGGTTGCAGTGAGCCAACGCACCACTGCACTCCAGCCTGGGCGAAAGAGTAGGGCTCTTGTCTCAAAAAAATTAAACAAACAAAAAACACTGTGAAGTATTTTTACTATTATTTTTTGACCTTGTCATTTTGGTGAATGATGAAGTACTTCTTTATAGAGGAAATAATAAATATAAATAATGTTGACAGCTAGGCACAATGGCTCACACCTGTAATCCCAGCACTTTGGGAGGCTGAGGTGAGCAGATCCGGTCAGGAGTTCGAGACCAGCCTGGGCAATATGGCAAAACCCCATGTCTACTGAAAAATATAAAAATCATCCAGGCATAGTAGCACATGCCTGTGATCCCAGCTACTTGGGGAACTGAGGTGGAAGGATCACTATAGCCTGGGAGGCAGAGGTTGCAGGGTTGCAGTGAGCCAAGATCTGATGTACCACTACACTGCAGCCTAGGCAACAGTGAGTAACTGTCTCAAAAAAACACAGAAAAAAACCAAAATGTATTCTACCCTAGTCAAATGTGACTGCAGCCCAGGACAACACCTTGATAAGGGCCTTGAGAAAGACCTTGAAAGAACCCAACAAAGCCATGCCAGGATTCCTAACTCACAGAAACTGTAAAATAAATGTTTGTTATTTTAAGCTGCTAACTTCTAGGACAATTTGTTATGCAGTAATAGATAATTAAGGCAATGTGACAGATTATATTCCTCCTATTAGTTTCCAATAACCTCACCAATACTCACTACTGTCATTAATGTTTGTGAAATTTTTGTTGATTTAGTTTGTATCTCCTACTTGGTCCTAGGATTGGATAGCTAAACCTTAGATAGCAATTATGGAAAGCAAGCGATCGTGTGCTGTTCAAATCTATCTTCTTTCTTTTTTATATGGCTATAGCCAGTTTATTAGGAGTATTATCAGAAACCTGACGAGAAGCTTGAAAAATACTTCTCTAAAATTTTGGAACTAAAAAACTGCAATACAACCCTTTAAATGCTGGGTGTACAAAATCCTATTTTCACATAACTAGTGGACACTTTTTTTTTTTTTAAGCTCTAAAGAGAAAGCAGTTAGGAAGGCTCCAGAGCTCAACATTTCTAGTATTTTATATTCAAAAATACCTCCCAAACTTAAAAGTCAGAATACATGGCTACTCAACTAGGTTTTCCCCCAAAGCCCCTTTATCTCTCTTCTCTTTATTTCTCAACAAACATTTTTTTTTTTTATTTGAGCATTGCTTCAACAGAGGTGGCAGTTTGGAAGGAGGATACTTTCAGAAAGATAAGATTTTTATAGCCAGGTCGCTCTTCATCCATAATTTCAACTTGGACCAACTTGGTCGGGAGAGAAGAACATGCCTGGAACCTTAAGTTATCACAAAATCTACCAGTTGATAGCCAAAAGGACTACTAATAAAACGAAGGTGAAAAACAGGTCAATAGGTTCCATGTCTTAGCGACATTCATGGTTCCTCATTTGTTAGAGGATAGATTGCCTAGGTTTTCTTAATTATTTTTTCCAAATACTTAGCTCATAATTAGCATTCAGAAAGTACTGGCAAATAAACAAGTAAGCAAACTTATCTAGTTATGTGAACCTATTTCATTTCTGAGTTTATACTGGCTATTAGGATTTCCACGTCCATCTATTCATATTCTTTGCCCATTGCCTACTTTTGTATAAATACATAAAAGTTATTTATACATATTCTGAATACAAACTCAGTAATATGTATTTAAAAATCTTTTCCAAATCTTCACCTTCTTTATTTTTATATTTCAATGCATGTTTTATAGTAGTTAATTTGTTTTTAAGAAATCCTTCTCTATAGCATAAAAATTTCTCCAATAGTTTCTTTTGAATTTTCAAAGTTTGCTTTTCTACATTCAGATCTTTAATCTATCTAGCAAATATTTTTAAAAATACAGGATGAGGTGGAAATCAAATTTTTTTCTGTATCATTCTTCAGCCGTTCCTTCACTGAAGTTTACACCACTTTAATTATATGCCAGCTTCCAATATTCTTCTGTTTCTTGGCTGTCTTTCTGGTTCCAGTGTCTTTCTCAGGCCAAGGATCTTAATCTAAAATTATATGTAGAATTTTCCATGTGACTGGACATCCATACTTTTTCTTACAGGGTGCAAGCTTTACTAAGATTCTAAGATGGAAAATACAATTCAAAAAAGGTTAAGAAGTACTCTTCTTTAACAAATGGCTACTCAAAGAACACTAATGAGAAAAAAAAAACCTCTCATACATAGGGGATTAAAGCCTTAAGCATTGTAAGGTAGGCTATGGAATCTCACCTAGAGCATTATTTATGTAACAGAATATACTTTTTTTCTGCCTGGTTAGTTATAGCCCTACTTGGAAGCAGGGAAATAAAGTAAACAACTCTTTCAAGGTTCCTTATAGCAAAATAAAACCCTATAAAAATCACAGAATTTAGAGCTAGAATGAACCCTAGATGTCATCTCATACAAATTTTATTTTTGGATGAGCAAACAGATAATTAAATAACTTGGCCAAGATTAGAATGCTTGTTTAATGGCAGATCTGGTGATGAAAGCTGGATCACTACACTCACAGTATACTGTTTCTAACTATCCCATACTGTCACTACTGGGCAGTGGAGAAGGCGGCGCAGCAAGTAGGGCTGGAGAGAAGAACAGAAGCAAAGACAGAGGAACAGAAAGGATGTAGCAATGGGAAATCGAGGAAAGCACATGCTAAGATGATATTTAAAGCCTCATATATTTATGCACGGAGAAATGGAAAAACTATTTTTAATGCCAACTATAATTCTATCTTGGCAAAAATATGTCAGTGGGCTCAAATATGCTCTTACCTTTTGCCAAGCAATCCCCAATACAAAGAAATTACCCTGAGAATTCAATTGAAAAATAGAACTATCATGCCCAAGTATGTTTACCAACAAAAGCAAATGAAAAGTAAAATCCTTAACTATATTTTATAAATTAGAAATTCTGATTCATCAAGTTGACTGAACATTATGAAAGAATTAAAAACAACAACAACAACGAAACAACCTCACATGCATGGTACAATTATGCCAAAAAATTATGATAAAAATATAAGCGAATACATAAAAAGTGTAAGTTTGATTTATAAGCAGTGTGATCATGGCTGCTTTTTTCAACTGAAATTCCTCCAGAAAATCGAGACTTTAATGTGGCTGCTTTAACTGCTGAAACAATATAAAGATTTACATAGAGTAAAAAGCTAACAGTTCTCCCTCATACTCCCTTTTCCATGCCTATAAACATATACTCATGGGGGTTTGGTTATGAATTACCAAGATGAGATCACACACTATTTCTCTGCAAATTATTTTCACTAAAAATATTTCAATATTAACCCACCCAGGTCAATAGTTCCTTTTTTTTTTTTTTTGAGATGGAGTTTTTCTCTTATTGCCCAGGCTGGAGTGCAATGGCACAATCTCACCACAACCTCTGCCTCCCGAGTTGAAGCAATTCTCCTGCCTCAGCCTCCCGCGTAGCTGGGATTACAGGCATGAGCCACCACGCCCGGCTAATTTTTTTTAGTACAGACGCAGTTTCTCCATGTTGGTCAGGCTGGTCTCGAACTCCTGACCTCAGGTGATCCACCTGCCTCAGTCTCCCAAAGTGCTAGGAGTACAGGCATGAGCTACCGTGCCCAGCCCATAGTTCATTTCTTTTCATGATGATGCAGTAGTCCGTATGTGAATATATTATGATTTATTCCAACCATTTCCTTATTCTATTAATGGACACTCAGATTACAATTTTATTTTTTGCTAGTACAATGCTATGACAAGTGTCTTTGTAATTTATCCCTAGTACTGATACTTTTCTTCCTATAGGATAGATTCTCAGAAGTGTAACTGCTAGCTCAGCTGTTCGTTGTATTAAACAGATAGTGAGATGCCTTTCCCAAATAACTTCACAGTTTGAAATTACCAAAAATAATGATTAATTCTTTTTTTCTACATCCATCCTAGCAGTGAATATAGTGACTCTTTTTGGTTTTTGCCATCTTGATGAGAAATATCTTTCTAATTTTAAAATTTGATGCCACAGCGTTGTATGTAACATTTCCACATATTTCCTTTAATCTCTTCTTTTTTTTTTGAGACAGAATCTTCCTCTGGTGCCCAGGCTGGAGTGCAGTGGCACAATCTTGGCTTACTGCAACCTCCACTTTCCCAGGTAGAAGCACCTCCCATGCTTCTACCTCCCGAGTAGCTGGGATTACAGGTACGTGCCACCACACCAGTTTTTTCTATTTTTAGTAGAGATGGGGTTTTGTCCTATTGGCCAGGCTGGTCTTGAACTCCTGGGCTCAAGTGATCCACCTGCCTCAGCCTCCCCAATTGCTGGGATTACAGGCATGAGCCACCCCACCTGGCCTTCCTTTAATCTCTTCTACATCTTTGCTTACTTTTGTTTTGTGTTTCTCAATCCGTCTTTCAACTGGATTTACCTGTTTTATTGGTCTGTTTAAACAATCTAGATTTTATTTACCCTTTCCATACTTCAGTTTTCTACTTAGTTTTGACACTTTTTGCTTATTTTGTTATTTTTCTAACTTTCTAAAAATATTCATTTTTGCTTCTTTTAAAATAAAATATACTATGAATTAGATTCTAACCTCTTTACATACTTTATAGCAATTCAAGATCATGTCTAATATCTTAGTCTTTACTGGAGCTGGCCAATTTCTGCATAGTTCTAGTTTGTATCACTGGTACTACAAAAGCAGAAAATCAACTAAATGCAAACGTCAGTCAGGAAGCAGTTAAATGCAACATCAATTATCAGTTTGTAACAATCTATTCTTTGAAACCTCTCATCTGATATACTGCTCAACATTCTTTAATACTACTCACCTGCTGCAAACCCTGTGTTCCAGAAACAGGTACTTGCATGATAGTTTGACCTTGTCCACCAGGGACAGCCTGGACCATGATGGGTTGGCCAGTTGATGTGATTAGCTGGCCTCCACTGACCTGCACCATTAATGGCTGCCCTTGGACCTAGAATGAAATAAAATAAGAACAATGAAATAACATAAGATACAAATGGTTTTTACCAAAAGAAAATCACTGGAACTATTCTTCTGCCTTGCTAGAGAAGGAAAAGGTAGAAAAGACACTAAGAAAGTATGTCTTAAGTTCTCGAGTTATTTTTAAGTATCTATGATATCTGTTACTAAATGCCAATTTCAATACTTTAAGGTCAGACATAATGGAGTATATCCAGAGTCTTTGAGAAGTCTCAATAGATATAAGGTATTTGTCACTGAACATGGGCTAAATCCCTGACAAACATTTAATCATAATAGGCAAGGTGAGTTGCCTGTTTAAACCAATCCAGGAATGGTCTCTAGTGAAAGCTGGGAGAGGGGGCAATGAGAGAGAGAGGTGATGGTGGTGATGGTGATTGAGTACAAATTCTAAATAAAGTGAAGAAAGTAAATCAAACTCTACCCAGCAATGACTCTAAGAGGCTGAACAGCAAGCAGCTCTGGCAAGAAGCTTATGTAGAGGATGACCCTTTCCTCCCTATAGTCTCTCAAGCTAAAATGAAATGTCAAATGTATACCTTTGCCCTGCTCATTTTACTCTGTGAATTCTATGTTGTTGAAAGAGCCCACTACTAATGATTTCCTAAAAATACTTTCTGGTCAGTTTGTGGTCTCTGTGGTGGAATTCCTCACACTGGCCTCTGTTATATCCACATGGTTATTTTAGCTTTATCAGAAGCAACAACAAATATTGAAATTAAACAGAGCAGTCAAGTGTTCAAACTTCAAGCTCCTGTGAGTACACAGACTACTGTAGGAGCCAGGTCACTACAAGTGCTCTGTCACATCTTGAGTCCCAATACAAAAATACCTAATAGAATGCTTTCTGGAAGCACTTTAAAAATGCTTTATAAGTAAACTGTAATGATCCATGGAATGGTCCAAAACTTTGATTTTCAGACTCTATCTTTGTTTTGACAGAAATTACTTGTAACAAAGAGAATATTCATGACTGAAATATTCACACTTAATGATAGTCAAAGTATGTGCAAATAACAACAATTAGTTAAAAGATCATTCTGTCCCAGATGAGTAGGTCAGATAGTAAGATCTTCCCTACAATCACCACCACCACCAGCACCACTGCCGCCACCACTAATATATTAGAATCACCAGGAACACTGAAATCCTAGGTTTTGTTAAACTGTCCATTGAGAACCTTTACTTTTTTAAGGACTTTACAGCCTAACTTTCTCATGCTATCTCCTTCCCTTATTTCCTCATTCCAAGTCAAATTCCCATTGCTACACCAATGCTTGCGTAGTCTGTATCAAGAAAGATTTCTCAGAATACATAGAGCATGAATAACCAATAACTATTTAAAATTCTCTCCAAATAATGAGATCCCTAGAGGAAAGGTTCCTATTATTTCCATAAAGTGTTTCCACTTCTTTTAAATAAAATCTATGTAAGTAGGAGACACAAGTTTTAAGATATAACTATTAAATTTTTGTCTATTCATCATCTTAATTTCCTTCTGCTATTTGTGCACATGATAAATGCTTTGATACTCCCAAGAGCTCACTGTGGTTGTAACAGAAAAATGATTACAAAGACACATGCATCAAACAAGAAGCCATACAGTTAAGAGCATGTTACATTTCTATTCCACAAGGGGTTAATGACAATCCAAAATACTGTTTTATATATGAGTAAGATGAAACAAGCATGAAAAACATTAACAAGCTGTTGGACTGTGAGATTTGAATACAGTTTTGGAGTGCCTACAAGGTCAGTTTCTTTCAGCTCAATTTATGTTCAAAGTTGGCTGTACATCATTACCAAACACTATTGGTGGCAAGGGTGGGATGGGACTGAAAGGATAAAGTGAAATGATGACAGTAAGAGGTAGTTATCTGCAGGATGCTTAGCAGCACTAGCAATAAAGTGAGATGTCGGTTCTACATTCTAGATTCTACTTTGAATCATTTCCAATTCAATGGAGGGAAAAAGTAGGGTATCCAAATCTTGCCTATAATTTCTCAAAAATATAGTCATTTTAATAAAAGTAACCTACATACACAGAGTAGACAAGTGCTCCTACTCCTATTTCTTATAGGAACTGGCCAAATTATAACCCAATTTAAGATACTTAGCTGTACACAATGTTAAGGAAATATACTGATTAACCAAGAATTATCATTGTGGCTTTAACACCTAAGACTTACACAAAGTATATCCTGCTTCTGCCTAACCAAGAGGTATCTGGGGTAGTCTCTGCAGATCTAGTAATAAGACAGGTCACTATTTCCCCAGGAAAGGTAACGGAATAGCAGTTAACAAGAGATTAACAAGATTCAGTGCTTAGATAAACCTTGCCAAGTCTAATTTTTTCAGTTGAGCTGCCCCTTTAATAAAAATAAAGCACAGCCTAGCCTAGTCATGTGTGGCTATATATGTATATATTTCCTTCTCCGTTATAACACAAATATACAATTTTTTTACCATGCAATTAACTGGATCAGAGTTTCTAATGTCACTTCTAAGAATTTATTCCTGTCACTTATATTATATCTTTTGTAGGCATTTTCAAAGAAACACACTAGTCAAATCCAATTCTTAGAAAATTGATATGGGGTATCTATATGACTTGCCATGAAACATTAGGAAACTGGCATCTTATAAGCCTCAAAGACAAGTTAGCATCATCAAAGACATGCAACTGACTTTGCCATTCCTACTGGAGATCCTAACACAAACAGCACCAGACATGAGGAGAGAAGTTCATGCAGTGCTCACAGAGAATCAGAGAGGATACCACTACCTGGAGGGTCTGGACTTGCTGGCCTGAGGCGGATGCCACCTGGGCCTCAGTCTGCAACTGCACAGCAGTGACACCACCCTGCTGCTGAGAACAGGAACAGGAAGAGCTTGAAATATGTCAGGAAGGAAATGTGTAGTTCAAGACATGAGATCACCTTATCTTGGAGGAGAGGGAGGGAAGCCCCACCCTACACAGGACTTTCAAAATGTACAGACTCCCTATATTGAAGCTGTTTTGTTGAAGGTAGTAGGATTAAAGATACTAGCCCTTTGCCTCCAGAGTGGACCTCAAAATGGGACTCAAAAACTCAAAACAGTTGTCATCATTAACACAAAGATTTGTGATGCAATCTTTCCCCCTAGAAACAGGAATCTGATACTTCTACTTACACAATTATTTAATGCCCTTTTTAACTCCTCTAATGAGTTCATAAGAAAAAAATTATTAGGTTTTAACAGCCCTGAAACTACCATGAAAAAATTCTGGGAATTAAATGCAATCACCAAGAAAGGAGGAATAATTAATCACTGTGAACCAAAATCATCTTCATGAGGTCAATGCTCTTATGCCCCAAAACTATGATTTTTTAAAAAACTTTATTTATTTACTTATTTTGAGATGGTGGTCTTGTTTTGCCCAGGCTTGTCTTGAATTCTCAGGGCTTAAGCCAACCTTCCTGTCTCAACCTCCAGAGTAGCTGGGATTACAGGCATGTACCAGCATGCCCCACTTCAAAACTAAGATTATTTCTACCCAACTGGACTGCTTTAATCACTTATTTCAGTGATTCAACCTTATTTTACATCCACGAGTGGTAAATTCTGAAGGAATAAAAACCCACCCTCCAGGGCACTGGTCTGAATGGAGGGCCCTTTGTGGAATCCCCTTCTCTAAAAGGGCGGTTTAAGGAAACTTCAAGAGCCACAGCAGCTGTGTGGAAGGGAAAGCTATCAAGGGAGTTTGTCTTTTCATTAAGAGTAGCTCCTTCCTTTGATCATAGATGGGAACAACTCATCATCAATACTTCCTTTGCCCTCCCTACTACTTTTCTATATTAGCTAAATTCCATTTCAAAAACAAACTATTTCCAAAATATCAATCTTGGCCTAAGGTCAAATAGAAGCATAATAAATTTCTTTTCTTCGAGGGGTGGGAAAAAAATGAAGTTTTACTACAATAAACCCAAGCATAAAGCATCAGAAAATGTAACCTGCGTATAAATTCAAGAAAGCACTCTATTAATTAGCAATAAATCACCAGCAGGAAATTCCTTTCTAATATGTGCTTATCTATAAGAATTGTTGTCTAAATATTATCCTAATGTTAAACCACAACTTTTCTGAATAAAAAAAATGTGGCAGACCAAATCAAAGAACAGAAGATTTCCAGGAAGCTATGTTGGTTTGTCTATTGTAGCCAAAGGCTTACTAAATCACAAATTAAGCTCAAACAAGAAGAGAAAAAGACCAAATAGAATCCAGAAAAAAAAAAAAAAAAGTCAAAACTTCCATCTGAAAACCAGACTAGATGTTTTTAATGAGATAAAAGATGCAATTTACTATAACCAGGCACCCATGAAGAGTAGATTCTAAGTGGTCATGGGCTGGACATGGCACTTCAGCACAAGCCATTAGACCCAATATTTCACAAGAACTGGTACCTTTCAAATAATTCCCCTGGGTAATACACCAACCAATTGAGGGGTGCTGTTATCAGTTTTGTTGATGTAATGTTTAAAGCAGTTTTACTTCCATACCTGCTGCTGAATCTGTCCTGCCTGGACAACAATCTGCTCTGTCGAACTATTGCTGTTCGCTGTATACTGCTCCATGGTCCCTCCAAGTGAGATTCCTGTCCACTCTGGAGATCCTAGAAGGCTGTGAGGTATACTCCTATTAGAAAGGTGGGGAAAGAAACTAAAGTGAGATTGTCAATAAAGGCCTTACCAGACAATCAACCTGGATAATGTATCACTGGACCTTATTTGCTAGAAAACAGGATAATAGGAAATGTTTATATTCAGTTTTATTTTTAACTAAGATTACATGGCACAATTATAATAACGCTATTTTCACGTTTCTAAAATGCTTTCAGTCATTTCTTATTGGCAATCTTACCTTTCAAAACTGTCACCGCAATACCTGCACCTTAAAGATACTCATTAAGCTACAACATCACTTAAATACAAGGCCTATATAACACTGATTTTCAGATTTGCACATATACTCTAGAGAATAAAGCTTCTTTAAGTTGTAAAACATAATTGCTTCCCTCCAAACATGTTACTCAAGTCCACTACATGTGGTAGGCAAAATTTACCCTTCTCAAAGACTAAGAGTTGAAGATCCACTTTCAAAAATAAGGACACAATTAGATAAACTGAAGTGGTATCTGAGACCGTTAATAAAGACTTTGTTAAAAAATTTAAATGATATAAATTAGAAATGGGCAATTCATCTTGGAAATATGAGAGGGACGATAGATACATAAACAAAAGTGTAGATAGTCCTTTCTCTCCAATTTTTCACCAGACCCTCATAAATTCCAGTATCTGAACAATAAAATGATGTGACTTAACTGAGCTGCTCATTACAGTGGCAAAGTAGAGTACCACTCTACATAAATCCACACATGCTGGTAGAATTAATTACTTGTAAGGTGTCTCAATACAGTCTGAATGAAGAAATCAAAATATGTGCAAGTGTATGTACAAGTACTTAGAAGTGTATTAATATCTAAAATTTACTTTGAAATGCATCAAAAAAAAAAAGAAGAAAGAAAGAAAAATGGATGAATGGGTGGAGAAATATCTGGTAAGGCAATTATAGTAAGATGTTAATAATAGACTCTAACTGGCAGGTATACAGGTGTTTATCTTCAAATTCCTTTGTTTTCATTGGGCACTTGAAAATTCTTATACCAGAATGTTGGGGAAAAAAAATATAACAAAATTTAATCAAAATAAAAATCAAGCCCATTACATAACCAAAATGGATACAATGTAAGAATGTATAAGCCATAAACAATAGGTTGTGTCACCACAGCAAGATGACTTGTGGCCATATGGTTCTCCGAAGCACTGCTCTTCCTCTAGTGGAATGCTCACTAAGCAAATTTCTAGCTATAATTTGGATTTACATATAGATTGGCCAACAAGGAGTAAATATAATCAGCAACATAAGTAATGCAATAGTTATTTTTCATTCCACACTGGCCAACTGGTTTTCTTATTTTTACACCAGTCTCTTTGGAATTGGTTGACTACTAAGTCTGCTCCTCAGAGATTCTGGGTACAGAATAGAAAATCAAGTTTTCAGCCAGACTGTAAGTCTATTAGGGACACTGGCAGGCTTCCCTAAATTCTATTTTGTCTCTAATACACAATACATTTGTGTTTGTAAACTTATCTATGATGTAAAATAATATATATGATTCCATTTATAGAAAATTTCCAAAAGACATCAGTAATCTAGAGACAGAAAATAGATCAGTGGTTCCTTGGGAGTGGAGGATACAGGGAGATAGTAAAGAGGGAGGCTGACTGGCATGGAGCATTAGGAACGTTGTAGGGTGATGAAAATGTTTTATATCTTCATTGTGGTAGTGGTTGCACAGGTATACAGATTTGTCAAAGTTCATCAAAATACTTAAAATTATTACACGTTGTGTCTAAACTATCTCTCAATAAACTGACTTTAAAAATAAGAATCATGAAAGGAATGCCTTTTAGGTTTCAGTGCCTCCCCCACTCCAAATTTTCTTCTTGTGTGATATTTTTTCCTTGACTAATATCCAGACGATTACATCTTTTACAAGAGTAAAATATAACTTGAAGCACATGATAATGACTAACAGATGTAACACACAGATTTTCTTCTTAACTAGTTTATCCTGGTTAACAAATTGGTTTACAAATAAACCAATTTAGCAATATTTAAATCTACTATACTTTGAAGAGTAAAAAAGAATGCAGCTTCAAATCTAACAGGCGTTTTTTCTCACATTAATGACAAAGTGATTTAGCCTGTATCATGATACTGATACTGTTGATGGTTAATGCTATAAGTAACTGGCTTCGGTAAATCCCTATGTTCCTACTGTGAGCTTTAGTTAGCAAGACTGCAACACAGTCTGATGATAGTCTTTCCTCTCTGCCCAAGATTATGACAAACTAAGTTAGACAGATTTAGTCTGTCTAGCTTTTGTTCCTAACACAAAGTTTTGAATGGTTTTTCCTCAAAGAGAGAGGAATAAATAATAAGCGCGTTTATTCTGGCTAGCATGAAAATTGTCTTCCTAGTGCATTTTCTTCTCAGTGCAATTCTTTGCCCCACTATCCCAAGGTGCAAAAGCTGAAATTTAGCCAACCACTCACTAGGAACCCATTCTATGTGGACCCACACACACTCCAAAGCTAAAACCTTCAGAAACTCAACTAGTAGTGTAAGGATATGAAAAGCCCTAAGATTACCACAGTTGACAATCACTACCAGGCAAAGCCTAGAACAGGAGCTTTTTAACTTTTTTGACCACAACCCTTAGTAAGAAACACATTTCATTATCACAACTCAGCGCACACATAATGTGTAAAACATGTAACTGAAATAAAGGGTCATGAAACAGTATTTACCCTTAAACAACACAAGATGCACTTTGATATTTTCTATTCTTTTTCTTTCTTTAAGAGACGGGGGTCTCCGTTTGTTACTCAGGCTGAAACTCCTGATCTCAAAGGATTCTCCCACCTCAGCCTCTCAAAGTGTTGGGATTACAGTCGTGAGCCATTATCATGGCAGATACCTTCTATTATTTAAAAATTCTCATCATTAGCTCAATTTCTTTCACAACTCAACAAGTGGGTCCTGATACGTTTGATAGACTAGACTACAACAAAGGGCTGTCCAGCTTCCCCATCATTCTACCGGTTTCTGGATTGGAGCTTTCTAATACACTTCTCTCCACTAACTACATACCATGTGCCAGACACTGTTCTGAAGGTTTTAAAAATAAAAAGAAATATCTGAGGAAAATCTTAACTTCAAAGAGTCTTTAAGTTTAGTAATGGAGTGAAAACCTATACTGGAATTCTAAGACAAAGTACTATGGGAATTTGGAGGACAGAGATTTGTTCCAGCAGGGGATAAATCAACAAGGCTTAAACAAAAAAGGTACTATTTGAAGTGTTTTTGTTTTTTCTTTGCTATCAGAGGTCTGCAGGATGAACTGGTCTTAAGTGAGAGAAAGATTTAGCTATGTGATTATGTGGAAGAAGGTAAAGTACTACAAATCAAGGAAGCATAAAAACAAGAACAGAAATGTTTCAGCATGTGAACAGCAGACTAAAAGGTCCATGTCTGAAGAAAAGCTACTGGCCAACTCCTGTCTCTCGAAATGCCAGGCAAACAAATTCTTCTGCAGATTGGTGGAGATAAAGGTGTTTAGCAAAAAAAGTGACTGGATTATAATGCTTTTTAGAAAGATGCCAAGCAAAAGTATTTAGTGGTTTTGAAGTGACCAGGACATACCTATTTTTAAATCCTAAGGTTAAAACATCTATTCCAGGCCAGGACGCAGTGGCTCATGCCTGATAATCCCAATGTTTTTGGAGACCAAGATGGGAGGATGGCTTGAGCCCAGGAGTTCCAAGTTACAGTGAGCTATGATTGCGCCACTGTACTCCACCTGGATAATAGAGGAAAGCCCTGTATCCAAAAACAAACAAAAAAACTTTTCAAAGGCAAATATACATGTTTTTTAGACTATTCAAGCCATATCATCTCATCTGCTAAGGCGGATAACGTGATGATCAAATGAAATAAGAAAATGATTTAAACAACAATAAAAAAAAACTCATCCTAAAAAGTGAAAGTAAAACCTGTCCCCAAAGTTTTAGTAATGAAAGAGCACTGGAATACGAGTTTTCTGAAACCTACCAGTTGTATAACCTTAAATATGAATTTAGAAATGAGCACCAGATAATGAAGACCTCCTCTATGTGCCAGAGAATGCACCAGAAGATTCACATGAGTAAAAATAATTCAGAGTCCTAGGACAAATATCTCCTCTTCTTCCCCAAAGAACTCAGCCACTTCCCCAAGGAACTCAGCAGAACCCATTAAAACAAGTCAGAAATTCGTTTTTTCAATCTTAGGAAAAAATACAGTTCTAGATCCCTTCTACTTGAACCTCCACACAAAATAATAATGGTTTCCAAAATATTCCTTAGCAACACATACAAGTGGTTTACCAACTGGGTCCCCCGTCTAAACTATCACTACTACTGCCTACTTCCCTATCCCATCTTTCCACCTCAAACAGTATAATTTGTTTCCTCAGCACATGCTTCTCTGCAAGCAATGCTCTTCCATCTGTGGAAGAATTATCATCATTCTTCAAGGATAATCAAAAGTGCAGCGCTGATAAGCCTTTCACGGAGGCTAGCTCACGCATTGATATTTCACAGCACTGAACTCGGCCCCTTTATAGCACTAACAGTTAGGTATTAACTACCTGTTCACCTATCAATTTCTATCAGGTAGGCACAGTTCGTATTTACCTCTACGCATTCCTTCCCCAACACGTGGATTATATCTGGCATATACTAACTGCTGGATAACTGGTTGCCAACAGCAACCTCTCAACCTAAGGAAAACCCCACAACACTCTGTTAAAGTTTCTAAACATTTGCTGAGAAAACGTTAACACAGGATAAGAAAGTGTATCAGAATAAAATAAACCAAGAGATGAGTGGACTGAGTCAAACCTGACAAAAAGTAACATAGAAAGGTGAAAGCAAAAACAAAGGACCCCTCCCCCCCAAAAAATGTACTACATTCCCACGGGAGGGATAATTCACAAAATGAGCAGTGGATAAGACTAATAATATGAAAAGCAAGTTGTACAGCCTCCGGGAAAAAGAATGCGCAGGGCTATCAATCTTCTAAGAGTGAGGTTCCAGGCACGGAACGGACTGGTCTTACAGCCCGGGCAAAAAAGGAAGACCGCTTGGTTGTGCTCCAAAACGGAGGTGTGCGGTCCTGCTTCGGCGACCGGGGCGGGGAGGAGAGGAAATGACGAGCCAAAAGGGGTGGTAACGGCGCCAGGCCGGAGACTCGGGCGGAGCGGGCTGGGAGGTGGGGCGCGGCGAAGCAGGGGGAGTGGGCGAACTAACGGCCCCCACTCCCCACCAGGGAGACTGCGGGGGCGGGCCCGTAGGGCTCCGAGGCGAGAGCGGGCCAGCCCCCTTGCCAAGCCCCACTTGGGACCCCGCGGCCGCGACGCGCACCCTCCCCAGGCCTCTCCTCCCGACCTAGAGGGACTGCAGACGGAGGGACCAGGCTCGCGGGGGGCGGGGGACGCGGGCCCCGGGGAGGCTTCCAGTCCCAAGGGCCGAAGCGTGGAGAGTGCAAGGGCGGGTTTAAGTGTGCAGCCAGAATGACCAGGAGAAAATCGCGGAGGCTAAGGGAGCGCGTGTCCCCTAGTGGAGGGCCATTCGTGGCCCCAAGCCTGGGGCCTGTGAACCTGGGCCTAAGAGTCGGGGAACGGGGATGCATTCCCAACTGGCCCTGGCACTCTGCGAAGGTCGGGGCCCCGAGGTGCCTGCTCCCGGGGTGCCATCCCCGCGCGGGGCGGCCCCTGCAGGCCTCGGACGGGAGTGCCCCGAGTCACTCGCAGGCTCCGGGTCGGGGCCGCCGGCCGCCCCACTCGGCTAGGCTCAGCTCGACTCCCCGGGCTCGACGGGCGCCTGGGCCTCTCCTGAGTGGTCAGCGAGACCCGCCAATCGGGGCGCTGGGGCCGGCTCTGGGCCGCTGGATATTGGCTCCTCACACTCACCGTGCCTCGCTCCCCCGGTTCGCTGCCCGCGCTGATTGGCTCCAGTACCGGACTCCGAAACCCAATCAGAGGCTCCAGCCGCCGCTGCCGCCGCCACTGCCGCTGCCTCGCAAAATGGCGAACCTGAACAAAGGGAAATCGGGCCTCCCTCCAACCGCCTTCGCGCAGGCGCCTCTGAGGCCACGCCCCCTAACTCGTTCTGGGCTCGCCCCAGCCCTTTGGAGGAGCAACTGCGCAGGCGCCATCTGCAGCCACGCCCACCTTCTGATTTAACACCACGTCCAGCCGAAGGAATACGCAGGCGCCTTCAGGAAGCGCCAGCCCCTTCAACTCAAAACACTACCTTGAGCTTAGTACTACGCAGGCGCTAACTAGCCCCTTCGCCGACTGCCCACCCCGTTCCAGGCGGCCACTAGGACACACCCCTGCGGCTAATACGCAAGCGCCACCCTTCCTGACTTCTTGTGGGTATTCTCGTTACGCATGCGCGGGCGGCGGCGGGAAACCACGAAATTTACTGCCGGAAGTTCGGCGGCCATAGCCAAAGAGTGTGGGCTCGGCTAGCAAGCTAGAGGGGCTCGTTTCCGCCCCGCTACCGGGCGGGGGCGGCCATCTTAGGTGCGTGCAATTAAGGGCTGTGGCGGGATTGGCTCCGCGTTTGGGCTGGTCCGCTGCTTCCCACCTACCAGGGTCGTATCCGGAGCCCTTCCCCGCGGGGCGGGGATCCTCAAACAGCCGACTCCTTTCCAGGTGAAGGGTAACTCGGGTAAGTTGCGGCTTTGAGCGAGTCTCCCCGCACCCTCCATAGGACTCCAGGACAGACCCTGCGTCCTCGTGGACCCACCCTAGGTTAGGAGACAGAGAATGGGAGGCTCCTCTAGACTCTTTCCTACTCCCATGCACCTGCCCAAAAAAGAGGGGGGGGTGAAGGTTCCTTGAGAGGCCGCCTTCCTTTCCCCACGCCTGGGGCTCAGCTCGTACCCCGTTCACTCCGGTTGCGGCTTAACGGGACCGTGGCCAAGTCCTTCCTGTTTTCTTCTAAGCCACACCCATGGGGGAAATACTTCTGCGTGATGCAGAGAAAAGGGGAGCGTCCTAAATCCGCCTTGCTCGGGAGCGGCAGCGGAGAAAGGAGGAGGCGTGTCTTAGGATGGGCTTTGCTTTGGCTGGCGGAGCGGGGCGCTCCAGGAAAGCGCGGAATGGGAGCAGATCCAGGCAGCCGCCGAACCTAAGCGTTCTTCCTCTTTGCCCCAGAAGAGTTTTGTGTTACTTCCCAGGAGCCGAACGAACTCTCATTCATCGATAAACGTTGGGGGGAAAAATCCTATAGAGTGGGTGTATAGGGCAATCAGTGTTATATACTGAGGCTGCCTGTTTTTACCTCCTTTTCTCTTCTCATAGCTGAAGAAATTCTGGAAATAGCGACTCAGTATCATGGCCAGCAGTGTTAATGAAGATCCAGAAGGAAGCAGAGTGCGTACAACTACTCACTTATTGGTGAACTGAAATTCATAATGGAGATCAAAAGCCTAAACACATTTAATTAAATCAATGATTGAATTATCTTTTTTTCTCTCTAGCTGATTCACATAAGCTCAAAATTCTTGGCAGGGACCATCCATTACTTTTACACATGCTGTAATTCATTGTAGTTAAGTCAGATCCTGCAAATTTGGCTTTAAATCAGATTGCAGGAAGGGGTACAGGGAGAGGTAGTGGTGGGGGACAAAATACAGAAAAATAAATAGCTTAGTATTTTTCTGCATCTAATAAAACATTGTCTTCTCCTTTGCACATTTTTTAGATCACTTATGTGAAAGGAGACCTTTTTGCATGCCCCAAAACAGACTCTTTAGCCCACTGTATCAGTGAGGATTGTCGCATGGACGCTGGGATAGCTGTCCTCTTCAAGAAGAAATTTGGAGGGGTGGAAGAACTTTTAAATCAACGTGAGTTTTGGAAACCTATGACCTGGTTTGCCCTGGCTAGAGCACCTCTTAATCTGTTACACTTTAATAAACAAGATATACGTGTAAAGGGATTCCTAAGAACCAAATGTTTTTAGATTTTTCCTCCCCAAGAATGGCCTCTAGTTTGGACCCTTATCATATCAAACCTGAACTCCTGTGAAGATTTTTAATCTCTTTCTCCTCTATCATAAAACCTTCACGACATTACTTGATTTGTAATAACTCTCAAATGCTTAGCACAGTGTATAGGTTGGCATTTAAAATCTTCTACTTACTAATACTCTGCCTTTTCTTCAAAGAGGAATTTAGAAACCTCTTCTTCCTTACAGACCTTTCCCATCCCTTTCTACTGGTGACTTTAAACCAGAAACGTGCACTAAAGTCCTATTGTGAAGCTTCTGAAAGTTTCTCAGATCACATTCCAGGTTTACAGAATCAGCGTCCACAGTGATTCTTAGCCTTACACAAAGGCAATTTCTTACTGCTTTGTATTGTAGTTATTTGTAACAATTATACCTTCTCTGGATTGAAAATTCTGTCATAATTCCTTTTTTATATGTCTGTATTCCTTGTAGTGCCTTATACAGCTCTTTGTATGTAAAAAGATAATTATTGAATAAATACACGTTTGGCAAATAAACTATACATTCCAAAACAATTTAAAGGCAATAGACAAAGTGTGTGGACAAATAAGGGTATATTTGAAAGTAGAAGCAGGGCAAAAGTTGGATTGTGAGGAAACACGTTTGTAAAAAAGCTGTAGGTTAAGGAATGTAGTATTTGGGAATGCTGATAAAAAACGAAGTGTGGGAAACAATAGATCTTCCCTATTCCCTTCAGTGTTGAAAATTAGTACTGAGGTAAACTTGTAAAGATTTAAAAATCTAAGAATAGAGATCAGTGTTTTTTTGCTTTTTCATTTCTACTATTAAGTAACTATAACTTTTTCTTAGAAAAGGAATCTGGAGAAGTGGCTGTTCTGAAGAGAGATGGGCGATATATATATTACTTGGTAAGATGGGACCAGCCCTTTTTCTTTTTTTTCAGGGCTGATTCTTAATACATTTTAAGGATTGGTGAACAGATGGGCTGCACTGCATTTGTGTTGATCATGATGTTCCATTCTAGACAACTAAGAATGTCAAAAAGCTTCTTATCTTATGACTACTCAGGTCCAGTGATGGCAGCTACTTGGAGCACTGGGTTAGAAAGGAATGTGAGGCGACATCCCAGCTGTGTGGGAAAGTCCTGCGCCATTTACCATAGGCTTGTTCTGAGACTTGCAAAAGTTAGGAATGCCTCCTATACTGTATTTCCTAAGCAGAGTGAGGTAAGAACAGTAATGTCTCAAGAGACAGAGTCCTCAAAGGAGCTTTTCTCTTATTCCATGTCAAATAGCACACTGACAGCAAGGGAGTGAAAAAAAAAAAAAAAAGTGCAGTGCCAAATAATACCCAGCTCCTCTCCTAACTACTGCTTGAATGTGGGGTTCTTCAACAGTCCAAAATGTTATTTGGTCCCTGAAAGGGTGTGGCTTCCTTGGTGATGGTGGTGGGTAACTTACAGCTAACCCCCTACAAGCCTGATCTGGATGGCAAACTGAGTAGGGAGATGTCCTAAGCCCTTTGAATTCTGTCCTTAAAGCTTATGTGGCTTCCAGTGTTTTTACTTTGGGACACTACCAGTTTTTTTTGTTGTTTTATATAAAGAGATATCAAGCAAGCAAGCAAGCATAGTTGTTAAATAAATAGAGGCCTTTTTTAGCAGGAAATTTTCAGGTGATATGCATTCTTCCTTGTTACAGATATGCAGCTTATCTCTTGGAAGTGGCACAGAGAATTTTGCCTGCCTTGTTTCAAAATATTGACATTAGACACCACCTGCTAATCTTGGGTTTCCTGGGAAAAGGAAAGATTAGTACGTGGCAGAATCTGGGTTTCTCAGTCTCTACTTAGTGGATTTCTTGAGGATCTCCCGTAACAGTGTGGAAGGGGCAATACGACGTGACATTTGTCATCCTTAATCTAGACTAATTCAATAAAAAATGCCCTTTTTTCATAATCAGGATGTTGGGAGAATGGGGTGATTTTCTTTGGCTATCATTTTGGGATGATGAAAGTTTGAATCCTTTGTGTTCAGATTACAAAGAAAAGGGCTTCGCACAAGCCAACTTATGACAACTTACGGAAGAGTTTAGAGGCAATGAAGTCTCACTGTCTGAAGAATGGAGTCACCGACCTCTCCATGCCCAGGCAAGGAAATCTATGTCCCGAAATGAAGATTTAATTGATGAGTGGGGTTTACTGTCTTACCCAAAGACAACTTAAAAGCTTAACCCAAAATGCAGATTTAAAGGTGGACAAAAGTCAAAATTTTGTAAAACCACCAGTAAACCAGTTGTCTGGGCTTAGGCCAAGACACAGCCATTTTCTAGCTTGAGTTGAATGTATCATGACAATTACCTTGAAATACCCACCTGCCTCAGCCTACTTAGCAGAGAGGAACCATTGTTATTCAGTCACATTTGTTGAATTCTCAGCACCCTCTGCTTGAAGCTGGACCTCTATTCCTGAAGCAATATAAGCTAAAGAATCAAGACTGAATAATGGTGGTTCCCCTCTTGGACCACTTCCCATCTCCCAGACCTATTACTTTGTGTCAAGAAAGTTGTAAATTGTCACTGCCTTTTATACTGCATGCTTGTTTGTGGTCAGTGTGGGTAATAGCTGGAGGATCTGCCCCGATGTAACTTCTTAGACCTTAGCTATTGGGAACTTAAGGGAATGACTTTGAGGGTTCAGTGCTTCCTTGGCTTTCTTTTCAGGAAATGGACCTCAGCTCTTCCTGTCACCCTGGTAGTTTTGAGTCAGTGCTGAGCATGCATGCAGTTTTATCTCGAGTCCCATGTTACTTTGAGTGTGGCTGCAATGTCCCTTATTTTACACTGGTCTTTTCTATATTTATGGTGTATGTATCAGAAACTTTTTTTTAAAATCACAGTTCTTTACTGACTTAATTATCAAATTATGAGATGAAATTAGCAATTTTGAGTCTCTTTTTCCATAGGGATGTTGAGGATCACTAGAGTAACATCTTGGAAGGTGTCAGGTAGTAGAGTTTTGTGGACTGAGTTTGCAAAAACCTTATTCCTGGATTGCAGCCATTCTGCCATTTCCTAGCATTCCATCTTGGCTTTCTTTTTTGCAGAGATCCTGTACTTCATCCCTTTTCTCCTTATTTTTGTTAACATTCTGTTACTGTAAGTGTATTTTTAAAATACCAACCCTTCCCCATCCATCCACAGCCAATTTTAGTCAGTAGTCATAGAGGGAAAATGAGTCTCCCATGCCATGACAGTTATACATTTCTAAATGTAATATGAAATAGTTGGAAAGTGGTATCTTGTTAGACAAAAAGAAGTGATAGTTTTTAGATGTTAGAGCTGTCCAGGAATGGTCTTAGGTAACTCACAACAAGAATTGGCTTCCAAACTCCTACCATGGTTGCCTATAAGGGTGTGAGACTAGATTATTTGTTTTTATGCTTTGAGCGGATATAGCTAACAAGAGAGAAGGAGCAGTTTCCTATATACTTTCATCACCATCTATGGAGATATTTTGTCTTTTTCAGGATTGGATGTGGTCTTGATCGTCTGCAATGGGAAAATGTATCTGCGATGATCGAGGAGGTATTTGAGGCAACAGACATCAAAATTACTGTGTACACACTTTGAATCAATCAACATTTTGGATGTTTCCAGGTTCTCCTCTGTCATCTCTACTGGGCCATAGGACTGGGCAAATTTACGTTAAAATCGGCAGAGGAAAGTTTCATGGGAAGTAGTCTGTTTCACAAGACAGACTTTGGTAGCTGTATTCAAGTATTTGGACTAGGACTGTGGAGGAGGGGTTGCTTATGATATATTGCTGTGGGGTTTTTTTTGCAGGAAAGTAAGGAGTGTGTGGCCTGATATTAGGCCTGGAAACCAGATTGTTGGGACTGTGACCTTTGTTTTGCTCCAGTATGCTATGATTTGTTTGGCTGGCCGCTAGGTGGCAGCATTGATTCTACGTCTCTGCTTTTTAAGAGAAATTTCAGGAAAGATGATCATTCCAGTTTGGCATTTTTTTATCGTTTGCGCACATAACTTGGTGTTATCCTTATGTCATCAGAATCCTCTGAGGGGAGAGTTTTCATTTTAATTGCACAATTCTACATTGTTAACAAAAAATTTGTGGTGATAAAAAAATGGAAAAATAAATCTTTGAGGGATTTAAGAGGTTCTGTGCTTATGTCTGTTTGTTCTGGTCTTGGGTAATGGAGGAGTCACCTGCAACTTAATTTCAAACAGTCAGACAAAGGGTCCAAGTGGGAGGAAAAGCAAAGTGAAAAATAAGAAAATTGGACGAGTCAAAAGGCAGGTTTTTAGAATCTCCTCTTGGTGAACTCGTTCTCTCTTTTGTCCACTGCATGGTTTCTGTGATTGAACCTGTCTGAATTTAATCATTAAAACAAGTGAAATAATATATGTCAAATGTCTAGCAGAGTATTTAGCACAGAGTAGTGACCCAATAAATCAGTGATTCTCAAAAATCCATATGAATCTTCTTTAAAAAGTAAAGGCCACTTCCGCTCAAAAAATTCTCCCATCTGTCATCCCAGCACTTTAGGGGCTGAGATTGGAGGATCACTTGAGCCCAGGGGTTTGAGACCAACCTGTGTATCATAGTGAGACCCTGTCTCTGCAGAAAAAAGCTGGATGTGTTGGTGCACGCCTATAGTTCCAGCTACCCTAGAGGTTGTGGCAGGAGGATGGCTTGAGCCTAGGAGGCTGAAGTTGCTGTGAGCTGTGGTTGTGCCACTATACTCTAGTGTGGGAAACAGAACAAGACCCTGCCTCAATTAAAAAAAAAAAAAATTATAATTTGGTGGTGGAGTTGGATGGCCACTTTTGTGTTTTTAACCTCCATAGAAGATTTGGATGTGTAGCCAACGGATCTAAATAGTCCTCTTTACTTCTGAAGCTACAAAGACCAGTCTTCTATTGTGTTCTTGGTGGGAAAGCAAAGGTCATGGATTTAGCCAGTAGTTCAGTATCAGAGGTATTGGGGAAACTAGACATTTTCTTTTTTTCCCCTTACTGTGGTGTTGAGAGTTAAAACAGCCAGACTTGCTATTGATTTTCTCCCCAGAGTGACTTGGGGCCTGTCACAGAACTTTCTGCTTTCCCAAGTATAAAAGAACAACTGTATTTTAGAAGGGGCTTGTTTAAACACCAGGTAAGTACTGGTTAAATATAATCTTTGTACTTTAGACTTGTGTTTTTATCACATATCAGCCTGATAAGAGGCAACAGTTTAAAAAAGAATTTCACTTTTGTATTTCTAGGCAGAACAGACGAGTTCTTGATGTTGTTGGAGCAGGGGCAGTGGAGGGTCAAGGTCGTTAACAAACTTATAGATGGAGGCTTTTCTTGAAGCGTTGCTTTTGTCCACATAAAATTAAGGGAAAAAGGAAGGAGAGATTGTCTAAATACACAAAATTGAAAATGAGAGTGGGGGATAAGTAGAAACTTACAGAAACCTAACAGTATTTTGCTTAACTCTGTGCAATTACAGATGCTCCTCAACTTATGTTAGGGCTATGTCTGGGTAACCCCATCTTAAGTTGAGTTCAGTTGAAGAGTGTACTGAATGTGTATGGCTTTTGCACCATTGCAAAGTCAAAAACTTGCAAGACAAACCATTATAAATAGGGTACCATCTGTAAATCTTAACACAAGTCAAAACATGGATTTTTCTAGACTTCCTTTACTTTGAAAGAGATGGTTATTTTTAGGTTTTTTTTTGTTTTGTTTTGTTTTTTTCATGGAGTATGAGCCTTCATTCTTCAAACAAAACCTAGTCTCATCCAGGATTGGCTGTAAGTAGAATTCTGGGACTTGGCAGGAATGTGATAAAGCACTTTGTTATTTGCAGATAGTAGTCTTGGGTCAAATTCCGATGACTTATCACACTTGAAGCCTGGGGAAAGAAGGCATGTCCTGGTAATCAGAGTGAACACATTATTCCTGGAAACCTAGTTAGAGTTTGGCAAACACCCAGAAATTTACCTGTGAATTTTTGCTTCCACATAGGACTCAAACAATCCTTTAAAAAATGAGACGACATCATCCTGCCATTACCATCAAACACCATATATTGAATGATTGTGTAACTGAACATTAAATGATTGTGTAACTGAACATTAAACTCCTACTTTTCACCCGCTCCTTGCTAATCAAGAATCTAATTGCTTATAAATTGATATTTGGGATGTAGCTACCTTGGATTTCTCATGCTTTTTGTTCCACCTTCTACTGTATTACTTGCTGATTCAGAGAAAGAAAAAGGCCCTCATTTGACTGTGGTAAGAAGTCTGTATGGGAAAGTTACTCTGTATTGTCTAGCCAAGTCCTGGTTTAACCTTCCCTCCCACTTCGTAATGTCATGGCTTGGCTCATAGCCTGGGGCATCCCTGTGTGTGGGACCTGCTCACTTGTCTGTGGTAACTTCCAAATAGTCGAGTTTCTTAACAATCTGGCCACGGGAAAAACACACCACTTTTATTAATGTTGTTTTTCTTTTTTAAAAAAAAGTACTCAAAATGCACATTTCAGAAATCTAAAACCTTGGGTCTGAGGCTGTTTGCGTTAAGCAGCCCCCTTGGGTGAGCAGTGAGGACCTTCAGTCTCATAGTTGACTGGTGCCCATGTATGGTTGCATTTCTCTCCTTGGAGGTCACTTTCCTCCTTCCCAAGAGCAGCATTAGAGAGAGAGGCACAGCCTAAATGAACTACAGCATGAGAAGCATATTTCAAGTCCTCTAAGGGCCTTGTCCGGGATGATTGGTTGGTGTCCAATGTTGTCCAGCTCCAAATGGTATTAGGCAGGCATGTCCCAGATGGCTGTCTCTGGATGGCAGCAGGAAGACCTTGACAAAACAAAAAAAGAAAACGTGTTACTGAGAGCCCTGCTGGCCCCCAACAATGACTAGTTTCTTTTTGAACTAAGGTTTCTGTGTGTCCTTCCCTACAAGTCCTTGAATTTCTCATAGTTTCCTTTGGTTTCTGATTTACCCTGGATTGAGTAAATTGACCAGGATTGAGTAAATAAGAACCCAATCTTTCGTTATGTTTTGATGTGATTTACACAGAAAAAGCCCCAGAAGAGATGTGCTTTAACTCTGTTCTTTCGACTAGATATAGGATTAAATACAATTCTGTTGGTTTAAAAAAAAATAAATAAATAAGCAAAAGATGAAGTAAGAAATATGTAAAATAAGACATTTTCTTTAATAAATGCTCATTTCTCGAGATAAGAAGGGTTGTTGTTCTTTTGGGCTTTTAGATTACAATACCATCTCATACCAGTTTTGTTTTTGTTTTTTTAACTTGTTATATCTTTAACCTTTCCCTTCGGAAACATGAGCAATTCAAATAGACAGGGAAGCATGTTAATGGGTCCAGAAAATGCAGTTACATTTGATGGAAGGAGGGTTAAAATTGAAGATGTCTACTAATATTTAAAAATAATCTGACTTTGATATTTTATTTTTCCTCAGACAGTGATTTCTTTTACTTCTGTTTAGATTAGTATAAGATACAACCCTCAATTCAAAATTTAAAAATCTTTTAAATCTTCTTTGAAATGCTTAATTTTAACAGAAAAAAAAAAATCACTGGGGAAAAAAAGTCCCAAGGACTTGCTAGTTAGGCAGCTAGGCCCTTGACTCCAAACGATGTTTAAAAGGAAAGTATACTGCAGTTAAAATTAAGCTGCCAGTTAGTCTGTAGAGTTTGTGTTGGGTTTATAATTATAAGGATAGTACATACACTTAACAAAATCTTCATGGAATTCTAAAAGTTAAATTTTATATTTTCAGAAGGCACCCTCAGAAACCTGTTTTCACTACTGTTTACCACTACCGAGTGCCAGTGTCTTACTTATGTGAGCGGAGTACCAATAGTATACCCTGCAATAGGCTCGCTGAATTCAGCAGCTGGGTCCTGCTTTTTCCGAGAAAGGCTGAAAGTTGCGTCTTTTTTTTTTTTTTTTTTTTTTTTTCCTGAAAGTTGTGTCTTAATGGGTTGGCAAATGCTCAGCTTGAGAATGATCAGGTCGCCGTGTGCCTGTCTAATAGAAAACACCTGCCAACATCAAGCCCTGGAATATTTATTTCCTAAACGTGTCTATGAAACAACATCTTCTGTTAAGGGTGTTAGAGTGAGAAAGACCAAAAGTATCCTCATGGAAGCATGGTGTTTTCATGTATTAGTAATATGTGAGTTGTTGCAGAATTAAAGTTGGGTAAGAGTGTCGTGAAGACCCCTTCTCTATTACTGGAAGATTCTGATCAGTAACTGCGGCCTTGCAAAGGGGCCTTAGTCATAGCATTTTGATAGGTGCAAACTCCGATCAGACTAAATGCAAAAAAAAAAGATAGTAAAGGATCCTCTAGCTCTCTTTCCTGAGGGTAATTGGCCTGTTTCTCTAAGAGTTTAATTTACCCTCAGCAAGAGGCCAAATTGGCCTTAATTGTGTCCTAATTATTTGCTTAAATAGCTAATCTTTACTTCCAGTTCTCCTATCACCTCTTGCTATCTGTAAGAGGTTACTTCTGAGCTGCTGCCTGATTTACAAACATCTTTTTAACCCTTTTAATATTCCTGCACGGACTAGCTTGTTGCTATATCATCCCCATTCCTGCATTCGGCATCCTTCATGAATTCTGCTGAGGTCTTCTCAACATAAGGAAAATGTTCTTGGATTATACATTCACCTAGCAATTATTAGTCTCCTTCAAAGTGTAGCCATCTGTTTGAAAACATGAAAGCATGTCCGGCTGAAAAAAAGTTAAAATACCGCCTGGCATGGTGACTCACACCTGTAATCCCTGCACGTTGGGAGGCTGAGGCAGGCAGATCATGAGGTCAGGAGATCGAGACCATCCTGGCCAACATTGTGAAACCCCATCTCTACTAAAAATACAAAAATTAGCTGGGCATGGTGGCACCTGCCTGCAATCTCAGCTACTTGGGAGGCTTATGCAGGAGAATCGCTTGAACCAGGGAGTCGGAGGTTGCAGTGAGCCGGCATCACGCCACAGCACTCCAGCCTGGAGATAGAGCAAGACTCTATCTCAAAAGAAAAAGTTAAATATCAGTCCATTTGGGGCATTTCAAAATTACCAAAAGTGAAGAAATTGGCCCTGAAGGACTGAAAAATATTTATTAGAGAAAAATTGAATGGTAAGATTGCCAATGGATATGGGAGCAGGGCATCTAAAAGGTGTCTAAAGTTAGTAATCCCTGACATGTACAAAGGGGCATTCTCAGAGGATTTCGGTATCTTCTCTGCTGTGGTTCAGTAGCAGGTCCTTGCGCCATCTAAATCTTACTAAAGAAGGTCATCTTGTCTCGTGAAAGTTTTAGGATTCCTGTCAATCTTGAGTATTTTAAGTTAGGGGAAAGTTACTTTGATACGAAAGTGAGAGAGGGAAAAGTTTAGGGAGAGAGATTCGGATGAAAGAAACATGATATTCTAAACTTTTTATCACCAGTCAAAAGCAGAGAAATGAAACCTCCCCAAAGGAAAATCAGATGTATCACTCATTCTACCTGACCTCACACCTTCTACTTGAGTTAACACAAAGTGATGGTGCCGTGGCACTTGGAAAACTCACGTGAAGCCGAGCCCAGTTGTCCTACTTCAGAATGTCTGCCAACTTCTCCTCATAGTATAGGAAGTTCTCCTGAATGTCCTCCCAGGGCTGAAAGGCCTTGGATTCACCTTCTTCTTGCTCTACAAAATTCTGCCAGATGTACTCGAAGTCCTGGGGCTTCATGATGCGCAGTTTACAGCCAGCCTCCTTCAGCTTCTTCAGAGCAGCCTGGATCTCCGGCTCCTCCCACATGAAGAGTCGCCCCACCAGAATGAGCAGACGCAGGTTCTTGGTCTTGCTAAGGGTTTTGGTAATGCGGTCAGCGCAGGCTGCACAGGGGCTGGAGGACACGTACCAGGTGACATTGTACCGCAGGGCTGGGTCGAAGGCTGGCAGGATAGTGTTGAAGAAGGCTTCCTCCGCATGGGCAGCCGCATGCTCATCCTCTAGGTATCCCCGAGTTGCCTGCACTTGGCCCCCCTTGCCCTGTGCCTCAACCACGTAGCAGAGGAAGGTCTTGTTCCTCCCGGAACTGTACTCTACATTCCGGAACTGGAACTTAAAGAAGTTGGCAGGCAGCCGTTCTCTGTAGGTTAAGGAGACAAAAGGACAGGAAAGAATGATAAGTTCCTGTTTCTAGAACCAGCCTAGAGTAGGTAGCCCTTCCAGAACAGTGTTTCAGAAATCCATTCATTCTTACTATAAACAGGCTTTGCCTGTGTTAACATCAGTGGCAAAAAAAAAAAAAAAAAAAAGCATGAAAAAATCCAAAAGGGTTTATCTGAAGGAGAGGAGAGTGTGGATTGAGGTGTGAATGCTGATCACCCTACTAGGAAGGGTCTCCAAACATTGTCTCCACCATCACTCTTCCAGCAGAACACAACCCTACATTTCTAAATCAGTAGAATCTTTAATCTGTCTTAGAATCACCTGGAACACTCTAAGAATTTCAGTGCTTGGGCCCCATGCTAAACCCATGAAATCAGAACATGTGGAGAGGTAGTCCAAGCATCAGCAATTTTACTTTTTTTTTTTTTTTTTTTACTTTAGGTGCATACTATATCCAGCATCTCTCCCCATGTTATCATGTTATCCCTCCCCACCCCCACTGTCCCTCCCCTACATCCCTCAACTGTCCCCAGTGTGTGTTGGTCCTCTCCCTGAATCCACATGTTCTCATTGTTCAACCTGATTCAAAAGTGGGTGAAGGATATGAAAAAGCATCAGTATTTTTGAAAATACTGGATGATTCCAATAAGTGGCCAGGTATGTAGCAAGCATTTAAAATTTCTCATGACAGAGCAAGACAAAGATTTTGCAGAGCATTTCATGCTTTCTTTTCTCTTCCTTGTAACGCATGTAAATGGCATCTTGGCATGAAATGTTCTAAAACTTGCAATACCATGCTCTCCTAGTGACTATTTCTCAAGTCTATATTTGCTTTCAGGTGAGGGGATTGTCACATGATAAGTGTCTAAGAATTATTATCTGTGAGGCCAGACTACTCAAGGGTATCTTGGGATAATTAAGCCTGTATTTAGTACCGAGTCACTTCAAAATCTTAAAAGACTTGTTCTCTGCCCTCCAGATGCTTATAATTTAGCACCTAGGTTGCAGCTGGACAGAGAAGATGTAAGTAAAACAGCTGAGAACATTATAAGACTACTGAAATTGGATAGGTACAGTACAAGGTTCTTGAAAGTTTAGCCTTGATTCCAGAGGCAGTAGAGAATCGTCACAGGTTCTTAAGAAGAAAAACAATAAAAGTGGAGTCCATGGGAGATTACTGCGGTAGCAGTAGGCAGATGGTGTGAAGCTGAGGAAAAGCCTGAAATTGAACAAGTCTAGTAGGTGTCTCGGGACTCTAGACTTGGCGACGAACTGTGTGGGTGCCTTTGAGGAGGAGGTGGATGGTCAGGAAATGAAAACAGCAGGAAAAGTCCAGGAATTTTGGAAATTCTGATAATAATGAGAAGAAAAAAGAGAGGGGCCAGAGAGGACATCAGAGTTGAAGATTGTTTTTGCTTTTTTTTTTTTTTTTTTTTTTGTATGTCTGTGTTTTTCTAAAATAGGCAAGATTTGTGCAAGTTTGAAGGCCAAGGAAAATGGAATTTTAATAGGAGAGATGAAGAAGGTCAGAAGGAGAGGAGGAGATGAGTACCAGCTAGAAAGACTAAATATTTTTCTTTTTATTTGTTTTTTTTTTTTTTTTGAGACGGAGATTCGCTCTCGTTACCCAGGCTGGAGTGCAATGGCGCGATCTCGGCTCACCGCAACCTCCGCCTCCTGGGTTCAGGCAATTCTCCTGCCTCAGCCTCCTGAATAGCTGGGATTACAGGCATGTGCCACCATGCCCAGCTAATTTTTTGTATTTTTAGTAGAGACGGGGTTTCACCATGTTGACCAGGATGGTCTCGATCTCTCGACCTCGTGATCCACCTGCCTCGGCCTCCCAAAGTGCTGCGATTACAGGCTTGAGCCACCGCGCCCGGCATATTTTTCTTTTTAAAAATGTAATCTCTCTGGGTGTCCCAAGGGATACCTGTGGCACTATTAATTCTACTATTGCCTCTCTCCACCCTTTCTCTTTCCCCAGAGAAGTCACCAGACTCCCTGGGCTGCAGGGGAATCCCTGGTATCCCAGGGCCTTGGCTGCTTAGGGATAAGCAGCAGATGCCAAAGATATGAGTAAACTTGACTTATTTCCCTGCAGGATTCCCTCTCCCCCGCCCGTCTCCAAAATGTATCCGCCCAAGTTTCCACATCTCTTGCTGTCAGGTTCATTTTCCACTGTGGAGATGGATGTGTTTGAGGACCCAGCCCCAGGATTCCTTCAGGTACTATACTTAGCTCTCTAAGCCCCTCTGTCCCTAGTTGGAGGCGTTTATTGTTTACTTAACATTTTAGGAGGATGGATTACCTGATGTTTGCTGTTCCTCTTCTCAATCCCTGTTTGGCATTCACTTATAGTGAGCGCTCCCTAATGACACTCACCCCACCTGACCACTCCTGAACATTACCAGTTGCTAAATGGTCCCTTCACTTCTGCTTTTGAGAAGCATAGAGCTTACCTTTCCTGCCCAAACTTGTTCTTCGAGGCTTTTTGCCCCCCTCCCCAAGTCTAATCCAGGGCTACCATGATGGATTATCAGGTGGAACCCCTGGAAGTATTCATGGCTACTCAAATAGCTTGGAGGCTTAAGCAGAGTTGCCATGTGGTCCCTTCTTTCTTTCTGGAGCTCCCCAAAGCATTGCTCCAACTTTGCTCAGTATATCTCATTTGAAAGCATGAATTTAGGCCAGTGTGAATCGGCCCAGCATGCATATTTGCATATTTGCCTGGATGGTTGTGTGGTGGCTGTTTCTCTCTGCCCTTCTTAATCTCTGATATTTACCCCTTCCTCTTTCCTAGTCAAGAGGAGAAGACCCAGAGAAACCTGAAACCCAAGGGTGAGGAAGAAAGGTCATCTCTCTATAAATACCCGTTTCCGACACCTCTGGCCAGCAGCCCTAGAATCTACTGTGTTCCTCCGCAGGGCCTTTGGACTAGGTGCCTTAGGAAAAGAAGTGCTTTCAAGGAGCAAAGGAAAGGCAGGGAAGGTTTGGTTCCTAGTCATTCCTATGGGCTTGCTCAGAGACTAAACTTGCTTGATTTCTGAATGGGTTTCTTGGTCTTCTAGAAGGAGCAAAAAGGTCAAATGAGATTCTTTAGGCCTCTCACAGACCGAAACAGCTAAGTCCTGGGGGCAAACCAGGAGAACAGAGGTAGTAGAGGTCTGGAATTTCTCCAGGGAGCTAGACAATATGGCCATCTCAGGCAATTCTGTAGACTCACAAAATAACACTATTATGCCCACTAGTGGAAGGAAGGAAATAATGACACCTAACTTGTTAAATATAGGCACCAGCATTTTTTTTTTTTTTTTAAGTAGCATGATATGCCTAAGTACCATATTTTATTACAGCCCTTTACGTTTAACCTAGAAAATATTTTACTGGTTAAGGGGTGTGTGTGTGTGTGTGTGTGTGTGTGTGTGTATGTGTGTGTGTATGTGTGTGTGTGAATGGTGCTCAGGGGAGACTCTGATGCTGGTAGTAGATTTCTTTCCCTGATCCAGTCACTTCTTCATGCATAGACACCTACAGCCTGATTTCTCTTCCCTGTCTCCAGACTCAGCACTTTGTTAAGCACCATTTCCTCATACTTTCTGCCAACAAGGCCAGCTACACTTCATCTGCTTAGACCCAGGCTACTGGGCATTTCAGTTCACTTGGGAGGAAACAGAGAGTCCAAATATCTAGAATAAAACTGAGAAGATAGTCTGCTGGATGGAGGGAGAAGGGATGTGAATAAATGTAATCATATTTTTCTCAGGTTCATGTTCAGAATGTTTGAATTTTCTAAGCATAAATCTATATTGTGAAAGGAAGCAACCCAGAGGGCAGTTGAAGCTGGGCTGAGATTAAACATTTGCTCCAAAATAATCCGTGAGTGGAAAAATCTGCTCACAGGTAATTACGTGTTGCCTCGTTTCAGCTTTCCCTCATTAGACCTCTGGGTGACCGGTGTGAAAGAGGGAGGATTGCTGGTTTCACTGGCCTTCTGCTTTCTCAGACCACTTTTCAAAGTGGTTATAAAGGAGTGGGCATAATCAGAAAGAGGAGTAAGAGCAGGAGTAGAGGGTTCTAGCAGCCTGACTCCCTAGATCTGAGAAGGAAGCTCCAGACTGCCGGACTGGACAGGATTCTGCCCCGGGCAGGCCCTGAACTTGCCTGTTTTCCCTTCAAACTTGCACAAATCCTGCCTGTTTTAGAAAAACACACACATACCAAAAAAAAAGCAATTTACACTTGAGCTTTGAGCTGCCCCCAATCCTCTGTGGAAGTCAGATTGGCCAGTCAGTGGGCTGTCTTCTCTTCTTCATGGCACACCGCCCAGCGTGCTCCAGAGGCCAGGGCGAGGGTAAAGGGCTGTGGCTGGCATTAACTGGTGTCGAAGTCCCCTCACTCCTTATCTCACCCTTCTCCTCTGGACACTGCCTCTCTCTGTTTCTTCCGTGGCCAGCGTAAACTACTGGTAGCTAAAGAAGTGATTGGAAGAAGAATCACTCTGTAGGCCATTTATCTTTGTTCCATAATAATCCCTTGGATAGGAGGTTCTGCTTTCTGCAAAAACATACACAACATAACTAGAGACAAAACCAAACACACATCAAGGGTGCTGCCAGGCAGAGCCACAGTCACTTCTCACTGGGTTGGAGAACTGGGTAGACAACCAGCCCTGGTGGCCCAGAGCTACCCTAAAACATGCTGTATCCAAAAGCAGGCATGAGCCAGGGGAATTCCTACCTAAGCCTAGTGCCACTGGATCTTCATACATCCTGAGCTGCTGTCCTCAAGAAACCCTCAGTTCACTCCCTATCCTAATGTCTGCAGAGAGCCTAAGAACCACACAAGAGGTTCTTATTCATTAGGTCTTTCATTTATTATTATTATTTTCATTTTTATTATTTATCATTATTATTTTCATTTATTCAACAGATATTTATTGAGTATCCATCAGGAGCTAGGTGCTAAGGATAAAGCAGTGAAAAAGACAAAGTGCTGTCCTCATGGAGGTTAAATACTAATGGTGGAAACAAGCATAAATAACAACTCCTATTCAGTAAACATAAAAAGAATCCCCTCTGGTTTTTGGATACGGTGTGATGATTTGGAGTCAGTCAGTCCTGGGGTTCACATCCTTCTCCATCTACAAGCTTTGGCCATATGACTTAATCCATCTGAGGTTTAGTTTCCTCACTTGAAAGAGTGAGTAATCCAACGTCTCGGGCTTTGGACAACAATAGACACTCAAAGCTAGTATAGGCTGGACACAGTGGCTCAAGCCTATAGTCCCAGCACTCTGGAAGGCTGAGGCATGAGGATTGCTTGAAGCCAGGAGTTTAAGACCAGCCTGGGCAACACAGTGAGACCCCATCTCTATAAAAAATACAAAAATTAGCTTGGTGTGGTGGCATGCACCTGTAGTCTTAGCTACTCGGGAGGCTGAGGCAGGAGGATCACCTGAACCTGGGAGATTGAGACTGCAGTGAGCTGTGATTGCACCGCTGTACTCCATCCTGGGCAACAGAGAAAGAAGCAAGACCCCATCTCCCCCTCCACCCCAAAAAGTAAATCGATGTTATGATACATATGATGCCTTTTCCAGGCCTCAAATTGTATCCTTCAGAGCTCCATCCTAAGCATGAACAAACCTGACCCCTTTTTCATCGCTCTTCCTCTCACTTTGTGAAGTCTCTGTTTTTCAGTGGTGTGCTGGTAAGTGTAACACTTAGCTCTCTGACAGAAGGAAAAAATCCCTGATTTCTAAAGTTTGCTGATTTCCATAAGGTAAGTATTCCCATTACAGAGATTTCAAGCTCCTGAGGTGACATCACTGGATGCAGAGTTGGGAATAGATTCGTGAACCAACAGGGGCTAGCTTCAGCACGCTACAGCAGTCTTAGACCCTTTTCCAGAACATTCTACCATGTTATTTTGTTAATGTGCTCAGTTCCAAATTTCTATCCTGAATGCTCTATTCAACCAGAATCACTATTAGCTGGGCATCTCTCCTTTCTACCAGCTACCCCCACCTCATGTTGGATTGTTTCCTGAAAAGCCACCTGCTCTTCTGCTAATTTTTGGCCCAAATCTAAGGCGCACTAAAGATCTTCCTTCTAGAGACCAGGCTAGAAAAGGAGCTGCTTTGCTGATCCCCTTGACTCCAGGAGGGAGTCCTGGGGGAATGCATCTGGAGAGGGAAGGAGAGGAAAGCTATTCCCTCACCTTGTCCCTGCACAGACCCAGCTGTACCTCTGGGCTATTTTAAGACATCTGTTTACCCAGAGTGGCTCAGGAGATAGCTCTCCACAGCTGTTACTTGTGGCCAGGAAACACTCAGGGTTCTATCTCCCATCCGAACTGCTCTCAGAATGCTCAGAACGCTGCCCCTTCTGTGCCTCCTTTTTCTGACCCTTGGGTCCTAGGAAGCCTCTGACCCTCACTACCTCCCAGATGGAGATAATGTGGAGCTCTGGGAAACCTGGGACCCAGAATGAATAAGAGACCAGTAGAAAGGATACTATCTCCCTCTCCTCCCTTTGTGCTGAGTGTTGAATGGGCTCATGTTCATGAAACTATGTTGTGATTATAAAGCCCTGGACCAATGTAAGTTATATCAGTGGACTTAACCCTTCAGGATCCATTGCTCTGGGATCTGCAAGGCAAGTTTAGCTCAACAAACATAGTCTAATTCTGTTCTTGACCTACCCTGCCCCTGTGTTGGAATGCCACACAGAGTGGCGTCTGTGTACACGCATGTGTGTATGACTAGGGATAGCGTGTACCAGCATGCTTAGGTGTTAGAAAAAGGCTCTCCTTCCTTGGAGAAGCCGCTGGAATTGAAGACTCTCCTGGCCAGGTTGCCCTAGGCTTTCCATGTGTCTGTATTAATCTGTGCCCAGCTGCTCCCTTAATCCTAGGATGAGGGTGAGGTTAGTTGGGTGGGCATGGGCAAATGGAAGTTCAGGGGCTACTCTTGCCTCAGGAAATAGGATGCATTTTCCCTTAGGTTCTCATAGAAATCAGAAAATATCTGAGCTGAAAGGGACTTCACTAGTATAGCTTCTTCATGTTATAAATGCTAAAACTGTGGCTCACTGGAAAATCACATGCCAAACTTAAAATATCAAATCCAAATTGCCACTCAAAGCTTCCTTTCCCCCTTGAAAGCATCATGCCTCCGTTCCTCCTGAAACTTCTTTTAGTCTCCCACCTGCTCTGCCTCTGGGCATTCCTGGAGACCCCATGAAGGAAACGTTTGGTTCAGGGAGGAAATGTGGCCTCATATATTCTCTTTTTATTCTTTGCTTAGGATCTAGCCAGGTTCTTCCACTGCAGGAATAGAAAGGGAAGAGAAGGAAGACAACTTCATTTATTCCTGGAGATGGTGTAATCTGGGTAAGACAGAGGGACCCTGCACACAGCCCCCTCCTTGCAGTCTGTAGACCCTTTGCTTTGGGTCCCAGTTCCTCCAGGCGATGCCTGAGCATGTTGGAGCAGCTTCTGTGTCCATAAGCTCCTGGTCTGCATTGCCTGCACTGTAATTTCTGTTTCTCTATGGGAGAGCCCCTGAGGAGACTCAGAGAGGATTTAATAAGAAAACAGCTGCTTCTCTCTCAGTCTTGGGAAAGGATGGATCTATCTTTCCTGTCTTGGGAGCTTCTACCCCAGGGAAAGTCTCTAAAGAAAGGGCTAGAGGCCGATGGATAGTGGAGATACCAACTCAGGAACAGAGAGAGAAGTTGAAGGGAAGGGGCACTTTGACTAGACCCATACTTAGGTGTGCCAGCCTCATTCTCTGTCCTCACCAGATTCCCTGGGCCTAAGCCTCTACCCAGAGAGGCGGGTGGCTGTCCCATACCAACAGGCCTGAGGAACGGTTTTCTTTTGGGGCCTGGACTCCAAGGAGCTCCTCCTACCTCTCCCTGATTAGAGAGCCCAAGGTGTCACCCTGAGAAGCCATGAGAATTTGCTGCTGGGTCTCTTACAACCCCTGCCGTGCCCACTGGTGCACTCTCACTGCTGCGGGGTTGCAGTTGGCCCTGATGCCTAATACAACCATCCTGAATTTCCACAGCGTACCCCAAGCCTGCACTCTTCTAGGAAGCGGAACCCAGGCCCCATCTGAGGCTTACCCTGTGACGATCTCGAAGGGTGGCAGCTCAATCAGCTCCTTCAGCTTCTCAGGGTCGTCCAGGTTCTCCAGATCCTCCCCATTCTGGGAGGTAGCCTCAGGGGCCGCAGCAGCCTCTTCCTTCTGGGCCATGGAGGGGCTGTGGCTCAGGAGTCACTGAGAGAGAGGAGAGGCAGGCAGATCTGGGCCAGGCCCTGGGGGCAGAGTCCCAAGCAGCTGTCAGCAGCTAAATCTGGCTAGGGATGTCGGGAAAAGGACCCGGCAGGCCAGGTTTCGTGCTCTCCCCACTTAGCCGCAGGCTTTATAGCCAAGGCCTCCTGCCCCTCCCCCCAGCTCTCTCCCTCTATCTTTTTTTAATTGAGTGACTGACGGCGGGTGCTGCGGTGGGGGAATGGAAAATCTGGCCATTAGTATCCCCTATTTATCAGTAGGCAAAGACAGGAAGCTGGCAGGTGGGTATGGCTTGGCCAACTCTCCTCTCCTTCTCCCTCTTAGCTCACCTTGTCTTCTCCCCTTTGTTTCCCACCCGACTTTCCTACCTCCACTGGGGGAGGGTGTGGAAGGGGCCACAGGGTGGGCATCTTGAGATTTAGGAGGGTGGCCTTCTGCGATTTCAGCAGGAGGAGATGTGTGTTGAAAGGGGGTGACTGCAAAGAGACGCAGGCCATCTCCTTTGGGGGAACTTGGGTTCAGGAAAGCAGGGGCGCAGGAAGAGGTGGGATAAAGACTGACAGTTTGGGGAGAAAGTGAGTGAGTTGTGACTCAAAAGTAGTGGGTGCTGATTTGCCTGTTATGAAGCCATAATGCAAAATGTCAAATTGATCAGGAGCCTCCCTGAGTAACAATAGCTGCCATTTACTCAGCTCAGAGATTTTTGAAATAGGCCAGGCAGTGGGTTTAGGGGTTTAAATGAAATCAGATGTATGCTTGCTACAGCCCTGGGAGGCGATGTGTATTATCCCATGTTACATACAGATAAACTGAGACTCACAGAAGTGTGCAGAGCCAGGATTAAAACACAGCCCAGTGTACTTCAGGCTAGATATTCAGACTCTGTGCTCTGTGCCCTCAGAGTCGGTCTTTCATTCCTCTTAACAAATGTTTATTGAGCATCTACTCTGTGCCAGGTGCTGTTTCAGGTACCAGGAATATGGCAAAAGAACAAAGCAAATGAAAATCCCTGCTTTGAGGTTTTGTGGAGCCTCAGGGACAGGACAACAAATAAGATAAGTAAAATACATCGTCTGTTTGGTATTGATAAGTGCCAAGGAGAAAAGACAGGAAAGGGAAACAGGAGGTGCTAAGAGGTGGGGTTACATCCTTATAGGATAGCCAGGGTGAAGGACTTTGAAAAGGAGACAGCTGAAAAGGAGCTGAAGGAGGCAAGGGAGCTAATCATTTGGATATCTAAGAGGAAAGCTTTCGTTTGACGAAAGGAAGCAACATGAACAAAGGCTCTGAGAAGTGAGCCTTCCTGGGGTGTTTGAGGAACTCGTAAGGACATCTGGGTGGCTGGAGAGCTCTAAGGGATTAAGCCAGGAAGATAACAAGGGTAAAAGGGGCTGGGGGCTTATAGGCTGTTACAAGGACCTTGCTTTTTCTCTGAATGGGGTGGGAAGCCATTGTCTCCAAACAGATGAGCGGTGGTCTGAGCACCTGGGGAGAGCAGAGGCTGGTGAACAGTGAGAAGCCTACTGAGGCCACAGAGAGATGATGGGGGCCCCTAGAAAAGACCCTGAGCTGAAACAGCAGCAGAGGATAGCTAGATGATTTTTGCAGCTCACATGATGGGTACTTAGCGGCATACAAGTCTTTGTGTTTGGAGCAGCACAGACACTCTAGGCCATTCTCAGGGAAGTGGAAGGAAGGAGTCAGGGAAACTTGCAGGTTGAAAATGAGGAACAGAAGAACACTGGGGAGTGGATCTGAAAACAGCTCCAAATGGATTTGCATGGTGGGGATGAGAAGAGTCAAGATGGCTTGGAAGATTTAGGCTCCGTCCTCCTAAACTGCAGAGTGCTCTGTTAGTGTGATGCCCAGCATTTTGGTTTGCCAGGGATGCTCGTGGTTTCCTCCTGTTGTCTAGGCATAATTGGTAATAGCACTCCTTTACTCCCAAAAGTGTCCCACTATGGACAACAAATTATGTGGTTACCCTACCATTAGACTTATTACTAAAACCTTTTTTATTTTTTTTGAGATGGAGTCTCTCTCTGTCACCAGACTGGAGTGCACTGGTGCAGTCTCGGCTCACTGCAACCTTCGCCTCCCAGGTTCAAGCCATTCCCCCTCCTCAGCCTCCCTAGTAGCTGGGACTACAGGCATGGGCCACCATGCCCAGCTATTTTTTTTATATTTTTAGTAGAGATGGCGTTTCACCATGTTGGCCAGGATGGTCTCGATCTCCTGACCTTGTAATCTGCCTGCCTCGGCCTCCCAAAGTGCTGGGATTATAGGCGTGAACCACACCGCTCCTGGCCACTAAAAGCATTTTTATCCAGATCGCATTTTTTCAGACATTTTTCCAGGGGAATAAAGCACAGAGTAGAGGTAATAATGCCTGTGTCCACCACGAAAAGACAGTGGCAGCTGATAAACTGCAAAAAATGTTGTTTTCACACAAATATACCACATTTAAATGCGAAGAGTTTATTTCATTCTCTTGTTCAGTCAACATTTATCAAAGGTTCCTGTGTTCCAGGTGCTGTGGTAAATATCAAGAATACAGAGATGAATAAGGTGCTGCCTCACCAGGGGCTCCCAGCCTTTATCATATTTGGGGCATTAATCAGGCACCCAGGCATGCATTATCTCATTTAGTCCTTACACCAGTCTCACCTGAGTGTGAATTATTGGGCTCATTTGTATAAAATCACCCAGGCTTTGAGTTCAGGTCTTCGGAGCCGAAGTTTAGTGTTATGCTCAGGGCTGCACGCAGCTGCCTTTGATTAAACATCTCAGCTGTATTATACATATGTGTCCCCCTCCCACTTCCCAGGCCCAGCTAACGTGATATGCCTGGATCAACGGAGGAAGAGTAAAATGGCTTGCAGAGGAAAGCGAGGAAGATGGATCCTTTCAGTTTTCATTGTTCCCCTGTAAGAAAGACCTCTTCCCTCAGGACAGGTTCTTTTATTTTGGCTGTCATGTATAACCCTGGATTAGGAGGCAAAAAATATTCTATGTTCACATCCCCATCTTAGCCCCCGATTCATTGTGTGATCATGGACAAATCACTTGACATCTCTGGGCCTCCGTTTTCCCGTCTGTGACACAGGCTGTGCTACGGCTTTCTATTTTCAAATGGCCAAAGGGCTGAAAATAGGGTGCAGAGTGGGCGTGTGAAGACAACAGGTGAATGGTGTGCCGAGAATTTCCTGCTTCTCCCAACAGCTCAGAGTGAACGGTGCACAGGTGTTCTCAGGCTGGTCCTCTCTGAAGAGTTGACCCCTTTCTCCTACCTTACCTATAGACAGTTTTCCCTTTGACCTTTGGGAAAGGACCCTGGGCCTGCCCCCAGACTGATGACTGACAGCTTCCTTTTTCACTGCTCCTCTGAGCCTTCCCCTTCTCCCAGCCTGCCATCCTAGAGGCCCTCTGGCCTGCTCTATTTATGGCACCTCCTGGGGGCCTGAATTCCTGGCTGGTCCCTGGCTCTCCTTTCCAAGTCAGACCAGTTTACCCTACTCGCCCCAGAGTGCAGCAACTAATCTGGGGGATCAGATGCCAGAAGCTTGACTCCCCTCCCTACAGCTGCCTCTATACTCTTAAGGGCTGGCACACCCCATTCCCAATGTTAACCCTACTGGGTAAGGTTCTACCAGTAGTCCCCCTGCTACACAGGAGGATACTGGGCAATAAGGTATTTCATTCAAAGTCACATGTGGAGTCAGTGGGGTGCTGGGATTTGAACCCAAATCTGTCAGCTCCTAAGTTCCATGCTTCTCCTACTGTGTTATATGCCCTGGAATTTAGTAACAAGGAAAGCTGACATTAACACTGTCCTTGCTGCTGGCCTGACATTGCCCTAAAAACATCATGTAGGTTAATTCACTTATTCCTCACAAGGATGTTTGGGGTAGGTACTATTATTATCCTAATTCTTCTGGTGAGGAAATTTAGACCAGAGAGGTTAAGTGACTTACCCAAGGTGACGCAGCTAGAGAGGGCAGAGCCATGTGCTTCCAGAGTCATACTTTTATCTCCTTCACCATTCAGTCTCATCTGCTGCCAGGACCCCTGAGGCTTGGCTCTGGGAGAAGGGAAGGACAGAGACCAGCAGGAGCTGAAGAGGCTGAGAAGGAGTTCTTGCAGGAAGACCAGGCCCTAGCAAGTAATTGGTTCATGAAGGGTGTGTGTGTGTGTGTGTGTATCGGTGTGTTTTTGTATCTGTGTGTTGGGGGTACAGGTAAAGATACCAGACAGCTAGTAAGTGGGGATGGAAACCAGAATTGGAAAAGTCTTAGCTTGTCTCTGCAGGCCCTTGCCCGCTTCTGCAGGGATGGCAGTGGCTGGAAGGAGCTGGGTTAGGCCTGAGATATGCTGCAGCCTGCCTTTCCCTGTCCCATTTCCCACGGTCATTTCAGAAAACATTCAGAGATTCTAGGAGGTGGCTGAGAAGGAGAGAACAGGGTCAGGCATGGTTGTTCCTTGGTTCTTGGCTGGATATGGAGCTGCCCTCACTGGGAAGGGAGCAGAGAGGCCAGGACGGGGGCGGGTGGAAAATAGAAACCTCACCAGAGGAAGGTTTAAATTCTCACTCCGTGAAAGAGGATACCTCAGGGGTGCATTGATGGAGTCGGTGCTTTATGTGCAGAGACAGCTGGGACCCCAACAGCGTGTTGCCCCAGAGACCCAGCCCGGGCGTGCCTGCCCCTCCGGTCACTACTGAGACAAGGTACACAAACAACAGGCCTCGGGCAGCAGGCACCCCTCTGGAGGGCAGGAGGCTGTTTCCTCTAGCAACTGCTCTGTTGACATAAACACAAGGTGTCCAGGGCTTTGAGCAGCCTTGGCCAGAGAAGAGGGGAGGGGGCCAAGGGTCTCCCAGAGTTTGAAGCAGGGATTGGAGAAGGCACCAGAATCACAGGGCAGGACAGGGTTTTCTGTAGAGGACACAATGCTTGCCTTGCCGTGTGGGACACGCTGTCCTGGGCAAAATGGTGACTCCCGGGGCTTTAGTCCTGGTCACTATGGTCTCCATTCCAGTGGCTACTCCTGGCACCGCCCAGCTCCTGTGGCACCACCTGGCTCCTGGGGCTGCCACTTTCAGTCTTTGAAGAAAGTGATCTGATAAGGATCATGTACATTAAGGTGACTAATTCCTCTTTGAAGGGGTGTTTGCAAGGCCAAAGAACCTACTGGGAGGAGGTGATAAACTACAATCAACTCTTGAGAGGAAATTTCAGCCCTTTAGAGGAGAAATGTGTTGGAGTAGGTGTAAGTGCTAGAGGGATTTTTCTGGTGCTTCTCTTAGCAGATAATCTCTGTGTGGGCTGGGGGACCTTGGAAAGGGACAAAAGCCCAGATGAACATGGTCGAGGCCCTGGTATGACCAGGGATGGCTTTCTCCTGGCTTGCATACCAGAAGAGCCTAAATGTATGGAGTGTCCTCGACATTTGTGGGTGGAACTGGGGGGAGGAGTCTGGGAGGCAGGTGAATGTTTTGGTGGGTTCTACCTCAGGATAGACGAGGAAGGTCGAGATCCGAGAGAGTCCTCAGCAAAGCTGGGCTTTGGACTGAGTACCTTGTGAGCTGCTAATGAGAATCAGCAGTAAAATCTTTAAAACAAAGGGATTGTGTGCTTGGTTTCTGGAACCACAAGAAAGGGGACCTCTAAGAAGACTCTGAAATTGGGCTTGGGGTACAGGGGAACGCCAAGAGATAAAGCAAATGGTGGCCATTCACAGAAGAAAAGAGACTTTGGAACCCTGGCCCAGGCCTGACAACATTCAGGGGCCTCCTGGCTTCCCCTGTGTATCAGCTCTACCCCTGTCGGTAGGAGCCAGAGACGTGCAGAATAAACACTTCCTGTGCCCCGCCCCCTTCCATGCCCTGCTGGCCAACCTTTGTCCACTGGACACACACCTACCAGTCTGCCATCTCACCTAGCCCGCCATGTCTCCATTCTGCAGATAATGGCAAAGTGAGGAAGAGTGAAGGTTTAGGGGAGGAAAGGATGGACTAGGGTACAATAAAATGAGATGTGCCACCTCCTGGGTCTGCTATTTTACCTAGTGCCTCTCCAGCCACTGGACTAGGGATCTGCGGAGCCTTATGATCTTGTCTGTCTCCCACTCACCAAATCAGAGGCAAATGGAAAAATACGGCCTCAGAACAAAAATGTGCACAAAGAATTTGGATGGTGGAATCCTGGGATATGCTTAGAAAGACAAGAGGCAGCTCCAAGTCTATTTAGGCACAACTATTAGTAACAAGAGAGGAGGGTCAAAGTCAGGTGTCCACCAGGCTGGGCTCAGAACTGGGATGTGGGGTAAGGAGAAAGACAATAGGCCCAGGGAGGTTGGGAGACTGTGGGATTAGAGGCTCCCTTCACCCGGGAACCAAGGAGATGGGGCAGAGGGGGATTTTAAGGACAACTTTGGAGTCAGAGGATAAGAGTTTGGAGTTGGGATTCTGCCCTTTCATGCTGAGTTTCTGCACAAGGCCAAAAATCTCTTTAGTTTGGCTCATGCTGTATCAGGCAGTCATGCCAGCCCAGGGCTTGGGACACTGCCCGAATTAAGCTTTCTTCTAGGGCCAAGTCCAAAGCATGGGTTAGTGGCTCCAGTCTGCCCTGGGGAGGTCAAAGTAATACCATAGGCATCGTACATCTTTATGGAGATTCCGCCTAACTTCTAGAATTAGCGGGTAACGTGAATAAAATTGGTAGCATATACTACAATGTATATGTTATTATGAGATGATAATAATAATAATAATGGAAGATACATCTGGTATGCCCACTTGCCAAGATCACACAATGGTAGTGGAGCTGGGGTAAGAACCCATGCAATTTGGCTTCTGAGCCCATCCTCTGTCAATTAGTATTTACAGCTAAAAGTTGCACCAGCTTACCAGTTAATAGATGACAGAGTCAGTATCCAACCCCAGGTTGGTCTGACTCCTTGGCCATTACTGCAAAACACCATACCCTATTGCTTTCACACCCCAAGATGATCTGATTTCATGGGTCTGAAGTGGGGCTGGAGTCCCAACGAGGCCCTCAGGTGGTCTCTGGAGCACTCTTTGAGAAGCAGCGCCTTGCGGCAATGGTTCTCAGTTTAGCTGCACACTAGCACCAGGACTTTCCAAAATGATTAAAACCTTTCTGTTGTTTTTTCAGTTGTTCCAGAGTAGCAGTGGGGCATAGGGGTGGTGGCAGGGTGCTGGTCAGGCTTTGTTTTGAACGTATGACAACGAGATCATTTAATCATTCGATTAATCAACAAATAAAAACATACTAGCCCCTACTCCGTGCTCCGCCCTGCCCTGGGGCTGGAGATACAAAGGTGGGTGGGACACTGTGTGTGTCCTCCTGGGATGCCCGTGACCTGACCCTCTGGGCTGAGCATGCCCTTGGTGGAGGAGGGGAGGCTGCAGACTCCCTCTCTTGGGTGAGCTCTGGAAAGAGCCACTCCCCTCCTCAAATTTTGCTGCCCTTGTGGCTTCTCACCCGAGAGCACACAGTTTGTTTCAGCTCTAAAACTCAGCTCACAAAACCTCAGATTGTCAAGGCTAAACGGACCCTGAGAAACGATCTGTGCCCAAGCGGCTGACAGAAGTGCTCAGGAGCTTTTAACTCTAAAGATGCCAGGAGCCTACCCGCAACGTTCTCATTTATGGGTCCTGAGTGGGGTCCGAGGAATATGTAAAAAGCTCCCAACAGCTGTGCTTCTCAGCCTTGACTGCACCTGAGAAGGTCTCAGGGAGTTTTGAAATGTTGGTGCTCAGGCCTCCTCCCTGGAGAGGCTGATCAGGATTTTTAAACACTTCCAGTGATCTCATCATGTAGCAGGTGGAGACCTCCTACTGCAAGGTGTCTGGGCCTTCCAGCTGATCTTGTTAAAGATTTGGGGAGGTATACCCAGGGGCGGTCACTCCTTGCCACCATCAGGGCCTTAAAACCAGGGCAGAAGAAAATCAGAGAAGGGAGGAGACAAAAATTCAAAAGCCACTAAAAGGTTTAGAAAAAGAGAAGCAAGATAAAAGCCTGAATAAGCAGCTCCTGTGAATTCACCTGTCAGCACCCTGAGGCTTAATCTCTTTTTTTTAATGTTCTTTGCTTTATTCTAATAGTAATTAATTGATGTAAAATAAGGAAAGCATAGGAATGTATGAAAGCAAAAATGGTCTATAATCTTATTTATCAGAGATTCATAACTATATATCATACCACCATAATACATGTTATAACTAGATATTTTGTCATAAATCTGATATATAAATTAATGTATAATATATACTATATAACCTTAACATGTATAATTAGTACCTTTTTTTTTTTTTTTTTTTTGAGACAGAGGAGTCTCCGTCTGTCGCCCAGGCTGTAGTACAGTTGCATGATCTCAGCTCACTGCAACCTCTACTTCCCGGGTTCAAGGGATTCTCCTGCTTCAGCCTCCCGAGTAGCTGGGACACAGGTGTGCATCACTGCACCTAGCTAATTTTTGTATTTTTCGAGACGAGGTTTCACCATGTTGGCCAGGCTGGTCTCGAACTCCTGACCTCATGATCCGCCTGCCTCGGCCTCCCAAAGTGCTGGAATTACAGGTGGGAGTCACCATGCCTGGCTCCCTAGTGCCCTTCTATTAAATATATTTCTCTGTTTTGGCTTTTTTGTCACTTTGTAAAAGGCTTTTGTTTTTCAGATAATTAAACATCTGACTGCTAAATCTTTTTGCCATGTGGGGAGGGCATGTGAGTGGAGGCAAGCTGGTGTGCCCACCCCCTACATAGGCCTTCACACATTCATTCCCACACACACACTCACACACAGGTATGGAAGCTTCTATTCCCTCTCTGCCGCCCTAGGCATTATATTATCCATTCAAATACACACTTCATATCATACCCTCAGAGTTACTAATAGGATTTTATTATTTAGGTGTAAAATCAGTTTTCCCCCCCTTTCCCATTTTTCTGATTTCTAAGGAAAAATGGCACCAGGGGACCCAGGAGGGTGGTCCCATTGGGTTGAGCCCTAGCTCCACAGCCCTGCTTGCAAACTCCTCCTCCCCACCCTGGCCATCCCTCCTCTTCATTGCCCTAGGGCCTCAGTAGCTCTTCTCCGTGGGCGGAGGATGGTGCACTGGACAAAGGCTGTCCCTCCACAGGTGGTAGGTGAGGGCTGCAGTCACGGTGAGCCAGGCTAGGTAGGGCAGCAGTAGCAGGGCAGCCAGCTTGTTGATGGGATGCCAGATGAGTGCTGTGCTCACCACCAGCCCATACAGCAGCAGCAGGTGCAGCAGGGCCTGGGCACAGGGGCTGGGGGTCAGCTGGCTGCCCGAGAACCGGCTCCTCCACCTTTCTGCTGTACCCAGCCCCGCATCAAGCTAAGTCCCTGGGGCTCTGTGCATACCATGGGAGTGCAGAGAAGTCTGCCCACCTGTTACCTGCCCGCACTCAATTGCTCTGCTGAGTTATCTGCTTCTGGGCTCTGTCGCTCTGACCCTCTCCCACATTACATCTACTGAGCACCGTCGCCTTACCAGACCAGGGCTGTGGACTATGAAAAAGAGAACCAGGACAGTCCAGCTGATGGTGAGCTGAACAGCATAGAGGCCAAGAGGCAGGGCCAGGGGCCACCCCAATCCCCCTCTCAGGTCCTTCCACACCAGGTAGGAGGCGTAGCTGTAGAGAGATGGCAACAAAAACAGTCAACATGGCAAATGGAGGAGGCTCTCTGGCACAAGAACTCTCGGATATCCTTATGGGCTGAAATGGGGGCAGATGGGTCTGGGCATCATTTGAGGGCCAGGGAGGGAGTTGTTAGGAGAAGCTGGGCACAGCGAGGTGGGGAAGGGGGTAGGGAGACTTAGGGTGGAAGAAAAGCTAGCTGGAACCCCAGGCAGCCTCAGAGGGTTTCTTACTTTCTGGGGGGCCCGCCATAAGAGGCAAGACAAAGTACCTGCCTTTGCAGGCCAGTATATGGCAGTAATTCACATATAGGTGACTTGCTTCCACCCCAGTGGGTACCGGGGCCATGGGTGAGAAACAAGTACTCACCCCACAACAGAGTAGATGATTGTCTGTACAAGCAGTAGGACTTTGTGGAGCGGGCACCAGGACAGCATCCTCGGGCCCTCACACCAACCAGACATCTGATTACGAGTGAACAGCCAGACCAGGATGGGCCCCAGGTGGGGCAGGAGCACAAAGATGGTCCCTTGAAGCCGCATTCACCTTGAGGAGGCAAAATCTGGGAAGGCAGAGAACATGCTAGTGATGAGTCTTCCCCTGTGGCTCCTCATCTGTCTCTACCTCCTAACCTGACTCATTTCCTGGCTTGAGCTCCTCAGAGGAAGTCTAATCATGGAGGTCCTTCCTCTCTCCCTGGCCAGCTCCAGTCCAGTGCCTCTGAGCGCTTTCCATCCCCAGACCCCAACTTGCCCATCTTCTGGCTTCCGTGGACTTTTTTTCTCCATAGCACTCTTCTGGCACTTGATGGACACTTGGCCCAGCACTGACAACTGCTTCTGAGTGAAAGTCCTTCCTCCTTGTGCATCTGACTCCTGGAGATCAGGTCCCAAGTGACCAGCTTTTCTGCCTCCCACAGTGGGCAGCTCTTGAGGGTATAGCTGGCCCTAACCAAGAAATGTTCTACCTAAGCTGACAGCAACGAACCTGGAAAGACCACGATCTGAAAGCAGGAGCCAGAGATTCCTGGGGCTGTTTTCTAGTCACGAACGGGGCGGCCCATCTGCCCCAGGCTTATCTCACGGTATCAGACTGGTATACTCATGGGGCCCACCCAGGCTGACCTCCTGCCCAAATTCACACTCAGCCTGTTGACACTGTGGATTCCTTTCTCTGAAACCTTAGCTGTCTTCTACCCCGGAGCTATGGGGGATGAGCTTCCTGCTCCATCTTTCCATTTCCAGAGGGTCAGCAGGTAAGCACAGGCGTCCAGGTTTCTTGTGGCCTGACTTTTCAAGGAAACAACTGCCTGGTCTTTGATTAAAAAGCTGCCATGCTGACTGGCATGTTGCTTTGCATGTCACTGGCATGTGGGACAATGTACAGACCCTCCTCCAACCAAGGCCTCCCCCAATATCGTTCTCATTTGCTCATGATTTCAGCCTCCCGCCATGACTGGCCAGATTTGAAGAGTAGAAAACAATCATTTTCAGTGTTCTGAACTGACCTCTTAATCCGTCCTTTTTTTTTCTTTTGATACAGAGCTTTGCTCTTTGTTGTCCAGGCTGGAGTGCAATGGTGAGATCTCAGCTCATCGGCTCACTGCAACCTCTGTCTCTCAAGTTCAAATGATTCTCCTGCCTCAGCCTCCCTAGTGGCTGGGGTTACAGGTGTGCACCACCATGCCTGGCTGATGTTGTATTTTTAGTAGAGATGAGGTTCCGCCATGTTGGTCAGGCTGGTGAGCTCCTGACCTCAGGTCGTTCCCCCGCCTCGGCCTCCCATAGTGTTGGGATTACAGGCATGAGCCGCTGTGCCTGGCCCTAATCCATCCTTTTCTGTCAAGGGTCAGGGACACTGGTCCTGGAGGTTCTGGGACAGAGCTGAGCAGCATGCCTGCCTGTGCATCTTATTTGTCTTTCTCTGCTCCTCACTGTCCATTTGCTCATCTTATGCCTTCCTGTTTCTCTACATGTCTGTCCAGTGGTGGAGGCCCCCTCCCTGCCCCTTGCTGCCCCCATCCTCTTTTCTCCTGACACTCATCACTCCCAGTGCCTCCCTGTTCCCAGGCCTGTGCTCCCCTTACCTTGGGTAGCACACCTCCCAGGCAGGGTGCCTGATGACGTGTGATGCGTGGACGGCCGAGGAGGGTGTGGCTGGTAGAAGGGTGGAGTGGTTCTCCCAGCTGGTCTGCCTTTCTCAGATGACAAGGGTGGTGACACTGGCTGGGAAGTCCAAGTTGCTGTTTCATGGCCCCAAAGAGTTCCTCTCAGGAGGGGCCCCCTGGCCTGCCAGACCCTCCTTGATGTCTGGTCTCTGGAGGCTACCACTTGATGAAATATTTGAGGGTTTGTGGTGAGGGTTTGACTCTGTGACACCTGGACCTCCTGTGACAGCTCAGCCCTAAGTTATAATGCTATCGATGCCTATGGTCTCTGCATCCCATGAACCAGCTCTGTGGCCATGGGAGTGAGTGGTAGGAGCCCTCAAATTTCTCCAAATCTTCCCTATAACTGGGATTGTCCCCAAGGGTGGCAAGCACCAGCTTTGGAAGTGAGTTCGTGATCCATGAACACAGCCCCTGCTTATAGCCTCCTGGTGAGCATGACCCTCCCTGGCTTAGAACCCTAGCTTGACAGATGTTTCACAAACCCCTAGGACTTTACTCAGATGAGGAGGCAGCTGACAAGTGGAGTTGGGTGACGAAGTCAGGCGGGAGTGACCTGGCCCTCCCTGGAAGAAAGTCCTGCCTCCTAGCTGCCCTAAAGAGGGGTAGGAGAGAGTGTCCTCTGTCTGTTGGCAAGGTCCAGTCTCCTGTGTGACTCAGAACTTTGTTCAACAAAAGACAAACAGTCCTACCCAACTCCCTTTGTTCCCTATCCAGGTTCCGAGTACCCCTTCCTGGCTTGTCTATAGGCATGAGGTCTGCTTCCCAGGTTGCTGCTCTCGACGCATTCCTTTGCTACATCTCTGCACTTTGGGGAAGTGGGCTCCCCTGGGGGTTTTATCCCACCCTCTCACCTCCACCAGGGAAGGAAGCAGAGGGGAGGGATTGCAGTCAGAAACAAGAGGCTAGAGAATTATTAACTGAGACAAGGCAGAGGAAGTTATTTATTTTCTATGGGAGATGATAACTAGGGGCGTGGGGGTATTCACCAAGCCTCCCCAACTACAGGAGGCCAGACCGTGGTGACAAAGGTTACCACCTATTGACCACCCATTCTGTGGTGGGCATTTTACATGGATTAGCTCAAGAATGACAATTATTATCTCACACATGGTAGATATTCTTATCTGTGTTTGACAGATGAGGGAATTGAGGCTAAGGGAATTAAGTAGCTTGCCCACTATTACACAGCCAACATTTGGCTCACCTGGGTTCAGAGTTGGCTGCTTGGATCCAAAACGCAACTTCCTCCCTCTCAACTGCTTCACTCATTCATTCAAGACATCTTTATTGAGCACTTTCTATCTATCGGGCTGTAGCAGGAGCTGAGGGGATAGCAGAAAACATGAGAAATGTCCCTCTCCACAAGGAATTTTTACTCTTGTGATACCATCTCTCCTAGGCAGAGTTTCTAAGAACTCCGAATGGCAAACGGCCCCAAAGTTCAACCTGTCTCCCAAGCAGCAGTGTCTCCTGCCAACTCTGGGTGGGAGAAGTGGAAAGCACATTGTGTGAGGAACAGATATGGGTACATCTCAAGTCCACCGGCAACGGGGGAGTCATTAACCCTCTCAGTGCCTCCACTAAGTCTTTTCTGTGCAGGGAGCAGTTGGAACTAGATACTCTCTAAGCTCCCTGGACCGGTTGCATTGGCATCACTTGGGAGCTTCTTCAAGCTGCAGAATCTCTGGCCCCACACCAGAGCTACACGATCAGCGCCTGCATTTTAGCAAGATCTCCCAGGTGACTCTTGTGCATGTTATAGTTTCGGAAACTCAGGTAAGATTCCCTCCTCCGCCTATCTGCTATTTTAATAATAGCCTCGCCAGGCACAGTGGCATGTGCCTGTAGTCCCAGCTACTTGGGAGGCTGAGGTGGGAGGATCAATTGAGCCTAGGAGTTCTGGGCTGCAGTGCTCTATGCCGATCTGGTGTCCGCACTAAGTTCGGCATCAATATGGTGACCTCCCAGGAGTCGGGGACCACCAGGTTGCTTAAGGAGGGGTGAACCGGCCCAGGTTGGAAACGGAACAGGTCAAAACTCCCATGCTGATCAGTAGTGGGATCGTGCCTGTGAATAGCCACTGCACTCCAGCCTGGGCAACATAGCGAGACCCCGTCTCAGACCCTGTCTCTTAAAAAAAAGAAAAAAATACATAATGGCCTCTGGCTAGGGACAGCCACTCACCAGCAGAGGGCACTGTAGGAAGGGGTTTCAAGGTGCAGCACCTACACCTAGGTTGTATCCCTCCCTCCCTCCCTTCCAGACCTAGAGTGGCAAGTTTGCTGACTTCTGGGATCCTCCAGCTACTCCCTTACCTGGGCTGGACTTTGCCAATAGACAGGGACACTCTCCTTCACCCCTCTTTAGGGTGGCTGGGAGGCAGGACTCTGCCAGGAAATGCCAGGCCACTCCTGCCTGGATTCCCCGCCTACCTCCACCTGTCTCTTGGCTTGCCGACTGGGTCTGGCTGATCTCTTTCTCAGAGAAGGAACTGGACCAGCCAGCGGCCTCTAAGCCTGGACGGTAAGGTGAGCACTCCCTTGGGGCAGCTGGAGAGGGGATGGGCATTACGATGGGGTTACCTGGAGCTCCAGGGAGGAGCCAGGCCAGCTCAGTCTGCCTGCTGGAGTGTAGGGACTCTGCTGGAGGCGGGGAGGAAAATGGACTTGGCCAATGGGTATGAGGACCACTGGGATGATTCCACGTCCTGTGGAAATGTCCATTATATTAACAAACGCTATTGATGGCTTGTGTTTGGACCATCCATCCCAGTACTTGTTATGCAGTAGCTGGACATCCCTCAGGAGTTGGGGAGGCACAGGGAGAAGCAGTGAGGTGGAGGAAGAGTTGGGAATTTTCTTAAAGGATATGAGCAGAACTTGTCAGCAGGAGTTTGGATCTTTGTGCTGCAGGATGCAACTGCCTAAGGACAGGTGATAGCAACATTCTAAAGGACTCTTATTTTGGGGACCTGGTACCCAGGATGATCTGGGGTCTAGGGCAAGACAAACTGGAAAAGTGGGTAACGAGGAGTCCAGGCATGGGGTTGGGAAGCTCCAGGTCACACTTGAATGGCTGCAGTGCCGTAAATACCACTCAGCAAGAATGGGGCCATTTGCCATTCCGAGTTCCTTTCCCCCTTCTGGAGCCAGAGGGAGGATGGAGTGAGGGTCAGGACAGCCTGAAAAAGCTGTCAGACTGGAACACCCGGGACTGGCCCAGGAGGAGTTAACCTGCTTCAGGCCAGGTAAAGGAATGGCCTCCCTCTGAGAGGCCCGGTGGGGCTTTGGGAGCGGTGCGTGCCAACTGCTGCAGGGTAGGAGGCTGAGCCAGGGGCTCTGCTGTGCCACCCAGTGAGCTGCACCTCACTGGGGATCTGGACTCTGCTCTTTGGTGGCCCCAGGGAGGTGGCTGCTGTGTAAGCGAGGTGGGGCGACTCTTTTCTTTTCTTTAGCTATTCTATCCCCTGCCACTGGTGCCTTGGTGGGTGGGGGTGTGGTGGGGTTGGGGGGGTGCATAACCGCGGAACTCAGGATGCACGTTCCGTTCCTTCTATTTGTTTTTACTTCATTTGTGCTTCTTTCTCTTCTAACTTCATTTCTTCTAGAGAAGGAAAGGAAGATACTTGAGGAAAAAG